TCCCACTCACGCCTGTATAATCCACAGTTTGAGAGGCCAAGGTGGGCAGAATCCAGCCTGAGTCCAGCGATTTGAGACCAGCCTGGACCAATATGGCAAAACGCCCATCTCTGCCGAAAAATACAAAAAAATTATCCAGGCGTGGTGACATCACCCTATAGTCCCAGCTACTCAGGAGGCTGAGGTGGGAAGGATTGCTTTGAGCCCAGGAGGCTGAGGCTGTAGTGAGCCCAGACGTGTTTGGCCAGCTGCTATCCAGCAACAGAATGAGATGCCTGTCTCAAAAGAAAAAAAAAAAAAAAAAAAAACCCTTTTCATTTGTGTAGCACTTGACTATTTTCTTTTTTTTTTTTTAATTAAAAAAGATTTTTATTTTTTAAATAGAGATGGGGTCTCACTATATTGACCAGGCTGGCCTGAAAACTCCTGATCTCGAGCAATCCTCCCATCTCAGTCTCCCAAAGTACTGGGATTATAGACGTGAGCCACTGCGCCCAGCCAATTATTTTTAAATAGAGTTGTGTCTATTGTATCCTTTGAGTCCTATCACTATAAATCTGTGAGAAGGTAGGTGAGACATCTCTTTTTTTATACATGAGAGGGAGAAAGCTGAACAAAAAGCAGCTAAAAGACCTGCCCAAAATTGCACAAGCTGGCAGAGTGTAAAGAAATCTCTTATATACAGACCCTTACTACATGTTTGAGTGAATCAATGAAGGCATTTGCTTAAGTTGATGAAACATAGGCAGAATGGGCCAGAACTTCTGATTTCTGGTCAAGCATTCTTTTCACCTATTTCTGTATAGAATTGTCATAATTTGGGGCTAATAAATCTTTGCGTAAAAGGGGTGGGTGGGTACTGTATCCCGTGAATATAAGTGAAGTCTTTCTAAGTCAGTGGTCACAAATTTGCCCGGTCTAAGGAATTACCTGAGGCATTTGTTAAGCATGTGGATTTCCATACCCTTGGGAGATTCTGATTCAGAAGGGCTGAAGTGGAGCTCTGGAATCTGTATGTTAACCAACCAACCCAGGTGCCTCTTAGGATATATTGGGTTTGGGAAATGTCTAAGCCTTAAGGCACTGGCAGAGGTAAGGGGTTATTTGATCAGGAAACTGCTGCCCCTCTTAGGGTAAATTCTGGAAACTTTATTTTGACTTTCCTTTCCTTTAGCCATGGACGCATCATATGATGGTACTGAGGTAACTGTCGTGATGGAGGAAATTGAGGAAGCCTATTGTTACACCTCTCCTGGGCCACCCAAGAAGAAGAAAAAGTATAAAATACATGGAGAGAAGGCCAAGAAACCCAGGTTAGCCAACACAATTTGGTTGCTGCTAGCATTTATAAACCGAAGTTGCTTGGAGAGCTGCATTGAGCAAAACTTTTAAGACTCTTTGAAAAAGAATGTTATTATTGAAGTCCCGGGTCGAGGGATGGGGAGTGGGAAGTGAAGGGATTTCTGCCAGCGTTGCTATTACTGACTAGACTTTGCTTTTGTTTTCAAGTTGTCACAAGAAATTGTACCATACTGATGGTAGAAGCTAGGTACAAAAGAGCTACATTATTTATTATTATGCCATTGTTGTTATTTAAACATTTAAAACAATGCATTAATAAAATTACAAAATTAGAAATAAGGCTGGGTGTGACGGTTCATGCCTGTAATCCCAGCATTTTGGAAGGCCGAGACGGATGGATCACTTGAGGTCAGGAGTTCAAGACCAGCCTGACCAACATGGAGAAACCCCGTCTCTACTAAAAATATAAAATTAGCCAGGCGTAGTGGTGCACGCCTGTAATCCCAGCTACTTGGGAGGCTGAGGCAAGAGAATCAGTTGAACCTGGGAGGCAGAGGTTGCGGTGAGCCAAGATTGTGCCATTGCACTACAGCCTGGGCAACAAGAACGAAACTCCATCTCAAAAAAGAAAAAAGAAAAAAACCACACGAAAAGAAATAATACCAATTACATCTGTACAGAATATCCAAATTGTAACTCTAATTTCACTGTTGACTGTGAATACCTCAAACTTGCTGAAACTACCAGCATTGGTCATTTTGATTGGTCTGCTTGCTTCCCTCTCTCATCCATGGGGAGGTGCTGTTGACCAGGATGGTGACCAAAGGCTGCGTAGAGGAGTACAGAGTGTGAGTGATAACCAGCCCCTTGAGGAAGCTTTCCCTGAGAGTGGAATGACAGGACAGGACACCTGTGTCTTTCTTTGCTTCTGTTGGGTTTAAAATCATTCCTGCACAAAAGATGATCTTTAGGAAAGCCAGTCAAATGAGCCTTTGCCTCCAGGTTTCTGAAGAGAAAACAGCCACTTGCTATCTTTACCATTCATTTTCCCCTAGTCCCTTGGAGCCCCTTATCTTCCTGCATAGTTACTCCTGACTGTAATATACTGGCTCTAATGTAGTAACTTTAATATGGTAGCTTATATAGGCATTTCTCCTATACCATGAGTTTTTGTATAACAAACTGAATGTAATATAATTTGTGTTGTACTGACAGCTATCAGTTATAATCAGGAATAAGATTATAACTTATTATAACACCATCTGAGGATGTTATTTAAATGTTGCTTTGCTTCACTTTCAGTCCCTATTTAGATAAATGCTTAGAAATGAGAAGCTGGGTTTTATCAACCTCTTGACTGCCCATACCTTAGCATAGTAGTACTTACTGGTTGAATGATGGAAAGCCTGAAGAAGTCATTGCTTCCTCAGGTCTGCTTACCTCCTGTACTATTACGACATCTACCTGAAAGTGCAGCAGGAGCTCCCCCACCTCCCCCAGTCTGAGATCAATAAGAAGATTAGTGAGAGTTGGAGGCTTCTCAGCGTGGCCGAGAGGAGTTACTACTTGGAGAAAGCCAAACTAGAGAAGGAAGGTTTGGATCCTGTAAGTAATTTTTTTTTTCAGCTATTTTTTCCACTGGTTCAGTGATGAAGGCCTTAGGGAAACGAAGCCCCTTGTTCTGTTTCCTTTTCTTTTTTGGGGGAAACTTTCATCATTTTGTTCTTCTTGACTCTGAGCTTGCTTGTTTCCATTTTGATGATGCCCTGCACTCTCTTGTCCTCTTCGGTTGCAGCAATACGTGGAGCTGACATTTTTTGTGTTTTCTACAGTGAGCCTTAGGTTCCTTTTCTAAATTGTAGTGTAACTTGGAGCCCTTTGTAGTTACTATAATATAATAGCTTTAATGTAGTAACCTTAATATAGTAGTTTATATAGGGCTTTTCTCCTATGCCTTGAGTTTTCATATTACAGATTGAATGTAGTGTGTTGTACTAATTGCTATCAGTTATAATCAGGAATAAGGCTTGCATGTTTAGAGGTAGATAGAGCTGCTTGTGTAATACAGTACCATATTATTTTGTTAGCACTGGTGGTTGGAAATTATGCTAAAAGCAAAAATGCCAGTAAAGCCAAAGATGGTGGAGAAGACCGAGGCTTTGGGTGCTTGGGTTAAAGGACTAACAAGGAAGCATTTAGATTTATGTCTGTCAGCATTTTCTTATTTCTAGTTCACAATAACAAAACACACTGACAGCTATTTAAACTGCTGGGTGTTTGTTTTTTTGAGAGTATCCCTGTCATGGCATACACTGCTGTTTTTTTAAACTGAAATTCCTGCAGGAAGAATAACCTTGCTGTTGAAGACTGGAACCTTTTAACCTTAACTCCTTATTTCAATAGAAGCAATTGTCTGTAACTTCTGTTTTGGTGGTGTAGAGCAACAGCAACAACTATGTTATAGCAGAACAGGTTTTATTTTCCCTTGTTGGAGCCCGTCTGCTACTGCCGTTTAAATTATTTTGTGCTTATTGGCCTGGCATTCTTCTTTCTGGGAGAGCTTTGTCTTACCTATAGGCTTGGAGATGCTACTCTGTGCTCCCTCCTCTAGGTGATTTGTTTATTAACAGTGAATCTGGGAAATAATCCCTGTAGTGGATGATGAAGTCTAAGAAAAGTTTATCTACTCCCTTCGGTTTCCTTTCTATAATAAAATCAGCAATCTAGGCCGGGTGTGGTAGCTCATACCTGTAAACCCAGCACTTTAATAGGCTGAGGTGGGAGGATCACTTGAGCCCAGAAGTTTAAGACTAGCCTGGGCAAGATGGCGAAACTCTACCTCTACGAAAAAAAAGGGGGGGGGGCGGGGAAAGATTAGCCAGGCGTGGTGACACGCACCTGTAGTCCCAGCCACTCAAGAAGCTGATGTGGGAGGATCACTTGAGCCCGGGAAGTCGAGGTTGCAGTGAGCGGTGATTGTGCCATTGCACTCTAGCCTGGGCAACAGAGTGAGACTCTGTTTCATACACACACACACAAAATCAACACAATCTTTCTGTATCATGCACAATCTTTCTGTGCATGATAAAGAAAATCCTATGTAATCCTGGAGTGATTTGGTTTTTAAAACTATACACTAATGTAATTCATTATCAAGACTTTAAAAAAATTTAAATCGTCTGCAATGATTCTTCCTTATTTACATGCTTATTTATATCTACCACTATCTCTACTGCTGCCACCAAGAACATGAATAGGTTAGTTCTGATAATAGCTGAGTGACCATTGTAACTTTTGAGTCTTGGTCTCCTCATCTGTAAAATGGCAATAGTCTCTTCTCGTAATGTTTAAAATAGGTAATGTAAATCACCTAGCTGAATTCTTGATAATACTGACATAATAAATATTGCCCTTTAGTAGATTAAACATTCAGTAACCATATAATAAGGAAAAGTGGCATTTATTGAGTACCTGAAATGTACCAAGACTGAGTGAAGCTTTATGTGCTGTGTTTGACGTCTCCCAGACTGCCTGGTGTGATGGGAAGACACTCAGTGTCTTCATACCTTAGGAGCCTGTCAGAGCCCTGTGGCAGGCTGTCTTCCTCAGCAGCCCTTCAGGTCTCTTGCCAAGTGCAGGTTCCAGTTTTATGCCTTCTAGTCTATAAAATGAATATCATTCAGGCCTTCCAGGTTTCTTTGTACTTGGATTTGTTAAGTCCAGACCATCCTATGTGTATTTGCCACCATTTAGTCTTGTTCTCCTAACATGGCTGCTTCAAAAGTTGGCTTGAGAATGCCATTTCCCCATTACCTCTCCAATAAAGGCTCCATAAAAGATTCAGTCCATCTGCTTTTATGTTTCGTCTGAGTGCTGCTTTTAACTTTTCATTTCTGAGTGCTTCCTTTATGCCTTAAGTAGTCTCATCGACGTCTTGCTTTTGATTTATTGAAGAATCCTTTTGTAGTTGACTTTAGTGTTCCTTTTAAAAGATACTTCTGAAATTATTTTTTTGTTCTGTTTAATTTCAGGTCTCACTTATCTGTTCACTTTGAACTTTTCTGTTTTCCTTATTGGGTGCCTTTAAATTGAAAAAATAAAACATAAATTACTTTTTCTTGGTGCCAATTAGCCATTCAGGGCTGTGCTTTTCAGTACCTGGCCTTGATACTTAGAAGACCTGGCCTGGAGTCCCAGCTCTACTGCTTACTAATTTTGTGTTTAGGGAAAGTTTACCTCCTTGAGTTTTATCCTAAATTTTCTCATTTGTTAAATGGGAATAATAATCTTATCTAACATAATAGTGTTGTTTTTAAGATAACATCAGATAATGTGTTTGAAAACATTTTCTAAACCTGAAGGTATTGGGTCATTGTTAGTATTCACATTTTTTTCCTTAGTGTATTCAGGACCTTATCACATAACCCCTTCTATATTTACTTTCTCTCATGAAGGCTTCTCATGAAGCCCCTTAGCTTTGTGATCTGTTCATCTTCTTTGTAAGTCTGGGGAAAACCAGTGAGGTCAGAATGCTTACTTGCTGCCTTGAGTTTCATCTTAGCCTGTTAACTTGTATTTTATGCTCTTTGGGTTTTTATTGAGCGTTATACATTCTAAGGTTTGAATCTTATGCTACTTTGGAATCCTAAAGTGTCAGAGCTCAAAAGGAACTCATAAATTGCCAGATTCAGCTCCCTTGTTTTACAGATGGGGCAGCTGAGGCCTCAGGAGGGGAAAGGATTTGCTCAAGGCTATGCCAGACCTCAGGTTCCAGCTCACAGTTTCATATGGCAAGACCAGTGCCATTTCCAGAGTTAAGTTCATGCTGTTTCCCGTGTGATTGAGTGAATAAGCTACATTGGCTAAAGTGTGATTCAAATGAAGATGACACTGCTGTTGACAGGGGCTGACCTTATCTGAATTAGGTCAAGAGAGTAGAGTTTTTCCAGTCCCTTTTGCAGGGTGGGAAAAAAAAGACCTTACATACATATATATATATGTATGTATGTATATGTCTCCACATGGTCTTAGTCCATTTATCTTTGCTTGTCTCCCCCTTCCTGGCTTCCTCATCCTCAGAACTCTAAGCTCTCTGCACTGACTGCTGTGGTTCCGGACATCCCAGGTTTCCGCAAGATCCTCCCACGCTCAGATTATATCATCATCCCCAAGAGCAGCCTGCAGGAGGACCGGAGCTGCCCTCAGCTAGAGCTATGTGTGGCTCAGAACCAGATGTCCCCGAAAGGACCTCCTCTTGTGTCCAACACTGCCCCGGAGACAGTGCCCAGCCATGCAGGCATGGCAGAGCAGTGCCTGGCTGTGGAGGCCCTGGCTGAGGAGGTGGGAGCCCTTACCCAGTCAGGTGCTGTACAGGAGATTGCCACCTCAGAGATCCTCAACCAGGATGTGCTCCTAGAGGATGCTTCCCTGGAAGTAGGAGAGAGCCACCAACCTTACCAGACAAGCCTGGTAATTGAAGAGACCTTGGTGAATGGCTCAGCAGACCTCCCCACTGGAAGCCTGGCTGTGCCCCACCCCCAGGTTGGAGAGAGTGTATCAGTGGTAACAGTCATGAGGGTAAGTGGCTTTGGTACTGGTGTCGTTGGCTTTGTCTAGAGTTACTTAAAGGGCAGCTAGCACCATGCAGTGTGATTCCAGAGCAGTGGCAATCAAGAGTGCTAATGTGGCGCTTCTACTGATACTGCAGTTCTCTTGAATGTTTCTTGCCCCTGCGCTCACTCCAGAGTTCTTTGGAATTTCTCAGGCATTCTTACCAACTCTTTGCCCAGCTTAGCCAGAATTTTCTTTACGTGAGATAGTTCATAAACTACATTAGCAAGAAAGCTGCAAATTGTATTTGAGTTATCCATGAGTCAAAGCTAGGATCTGTTAGGCAATTTAGTATCAATCAGGATTTTGTTTTCTGAAGACTGCTTCCTTTTCTTGAAATGGGATGTCACTCTGTTGCCCAAGCTGGTCTTGCATTCCTGGGCTTAAGCAGTCCTCCTGCCTCAGCCTCCCAAGTAGCCAGGATTATAGGCTTGTGGCACCACACTGGCTCCCTGAAGACTATTTCAGCAAACAATGGCACCTTGAACAGTGTACAAGAATTTTCACTCAAGACCTGTACCAAAGCCTTCCTGGGTTCAGATGGGGTAGGAAGACAAAGGTTATCTTCAAGGCCAGGTAGATGGGACTCATATCTGAGAAAGAAGCAAGTTTCCACAGTGGCCTAAGTGTCATTCTCAGCTGAAGGGAAAGCAGCACTTTTAGCGATCCCAACAACCTTATCTCCTAAAAGTGGAAGTGGAGAGAAACTGCTACCCTGCCGTAGTATAATATATAACCTGCCCTCTATAACCTTAGAGAGGATAGCATTCTCAGCAATGGGAATCTTTCTGTTCAGGCTGAGAGGACCAGCTTGCTGTAGCCCTTATGGCCTGAGCAGAGAGAACAAGTACCCCTGCAATCTGTCCCAAGTCTAATTTGTTGCCTCAAATTATTTTATTTGTTGCCTCAGTGCTGTTTATGATAATGAAGCGTGCAACTAGCCTGTTTTTGTTGTTGTTTTTTGAGATGGAGTTTTGCTCTTGTCGCCCAGGCTGGAATACAGTGGCGAGATCTTAGCTCACTGCAACCTCCGCCTCCTGGTTTCAAGCGATTCTCCTGCCTTGGCCTCCAAGTAGCTGAGATTACAAGCATGTACCGCCACGCCCGGCTAATTTTTGTATTTTTTTTTTTTGGTAGAGACAGGGCTTCACCACGTTGGCCAGGCTGGTCTTGAACTCCTGACCTCAGGTGATCCACCCGCCTCAGCCTCCCAAAATGCTGGGATTACAGGCATGAGCCACTGCACCTGGCCACCACTAGCCTGTTTAAAGCAGGTAAATAGGGTGCTAAGAACACTTGAAAGGGTTAGAATTGGATTCTCTCACTAACTGCTTATGTGATCTTTGAAGTCCTAAATCTCTTAGAATCTCAGTTTTCTCATCTGTAAAACAAAGATAGCACATTTCCTGTGGTAATAGTTTTCTCTTTGTTCTTAAACTTTTTGAGATCATCACAAATTCATTCCTTTTGATAAGCACACTGGGATGAGTACACCGTCTGTTATTAAACTTAATGCAGTCTTCCAGTGTCGAGTGGCCTGGGTGTTTACTCTGTTTCAGTGAAACTGTCCTCTTCGTTGCCCATAGGATTCCAGTGAGAGTAGCTCCTCTGCACCAGCCACACAGTTCATCATGTTGCCTCTGCCTGCCTACTCAGTTGTGGAGAACCCCACCTCCATCAAACTGGTCAGTACTGTATGTGGGGGATTGATGGCAATTAGGGTGTCATAAGCATTTTTTTCTACATAGATTTGTTTTTTTTTTTTTCTTTCTGAGCTACCAGTTGTAGGACCAAGTAGATTTCTAAAAGTATTAGAACCTCAGGATGTGAGAACTGGCAAAGGTTTCGAAGAGATTATGTGGTCCATATGCTCTTAATGGGGGTGAGGGGTTGTAGATAGATCTCCATGGGATCCATGAACTCACCTCAATTTTTATACAAACCTTTTTCCTGGAATAGATTCCATGACTTTTATAAAATTTTCATAAGTGTACATGATTTAGGAAAATGAGCAGCCGCTGATCTAATTCAATACTGTGATCGTACAGATTAGGAAAAGGGCCCAGAGGAGAGAAGGGACTTGTTCAAGGTTACAACACAAGTCAGACTGGATTCTAGTTTCTTAATTCGCAGTTGATATTTTTTTCAGCATCGGGGCTGAGATTTATCCCTAACTCTTTCTCTTTTTCTGACACTATTATAAATGGCATTTTAAGAAAATTTTCAATATCTGATTGCCTACAGCTAATACGTTGTAATACAATTGATTGCTTTGTATATTGGGCTTGTATTCTGCAACTTTGCTTAACTCACTTATTAGTTCTGGTAACTTTTGTAGGTGCTGTTGGATTTTCTACATAGTTAATCTTGCTGTCTACATGTAATGACAGTTTTATATCTCCTTTCTGATTTGAATTCCTTCTTTCTTTTTCTTGCCTTATAATATTGTCTAGGACTTCTGGTACAATGCTAAATAGAAGTGGTAAGAGCAGACATCTTTGTCTTGTCCTCATGTAAGGAGGAAAGGATTCAGTCCTTCCTCATTAAGTATATTAACTATGGGTTTTTCCTACCTGCCCTTTATCATGTTTAGGAGTTCCCTCTATTCCTAATTTTCTGAGAGTTTTTATCAGGAATGGATGTTGGATTTTGTCAAATGCTTTTTCTGTGTCTTTTGAGAGTATTATAAGAATTTTCCAGAAGTTGGTTAAAGTAGTGAACTTCACTATTATTCAAATTTTAAACCACCCTTGTATTCCTGGGACAAACCCCATTCGACAGTGATGTATTATCCGTCTCATAGATTGTTGGATTTGATTTGCTAAAAATTTTGCTCAGAATTTGGCTCAGAATTTCCTTGTACAGTCTGTCCGCTTTTTGTATCAGGGTAATGCTTGCCTCTTAAAATGACTTGGGAAGTATTTTCTCCACCTCAGTTCTTTTCCTTAAATGGTAGTATTACCAGGGAAGTCATCTGGGCCTGGAATTTTCTTTGTGAGAAGGTTTTTAACTGCAAGCCCAATTTTAAAAATATATCAAGTTGTTCGTAACATTCCCTTATTACCCTGTAATAAACACTGTACTTATCTACAAAGATAATTTGGACTGTTGTTTCCCTATTGCTGACAGATGAAAAAGTTTAGACCTTAAAATAATACCTGATTCTGTTGGCCGCTTCTGGTTAAGGCCACTCTCTACAGCTTTCCAATGACGAGTAATGCTTTACATTACAGCCAGCTAATATTCTAAGATTCTTAGAAGTGAACAAACCACTTGTTGCTTATTTTGGTTGTTTCTGGACAGTTACTACCTGTGTGGAAAAATTCAGGGTGCTAAACAACAGTGTCACTTTATGGCCTGGTACTACACTGGAGCATGTCACAAGTTTGCAAGGGCTGTAGCTCCTCCCTCTACTAATGGATACTACCAGAGACCTTCACACAGCGCAGACCTCGATTACTAACACCTAAATATTAACACCCATGGGATTTGCAGTCCCTATGTTCATGCCTAGTACTTTGGTAAGCTCCACACTAGGCACATACTGTTTTATGCAATCTTTAAAGACATCTGCAATAGACAATATGCAGTTTGTTTATAAACTATGAGGTTTATAAACAGAGAGAACTCTTTACATTTGCTATTATGTCTTAACAGGCACAATCTGAAATACAATTTTGTACTAGCAGTGTATAAAAATACTTTTAAAACAATACTTTTGATAGGTACAGTAGCACTTTAAAGAAAACCACTGTGTAGTTATTCCTTTTGAGGACCTACTAAAACAATTCAACTTACTGTCCCCAGCTACATCTAAAGCACGAACGTGGAAAGCAAGTTCTCTTACCCAGGTACATACCACACACACCCACGTACTGAAACAATCTCCATCTATGATGCATGCTGATGAGGTATCAGTCTCAAACAGGGCATGAGATGACGGTGTTTGGAGCCTGTTTCCATTTCCAGGTTTGGTATGAATGAACAAAAGGCAAAGGCAAGATGGAGTCTGTGTATGAGCCCTCTCTAGGAGTTTAATCTGGCATATCGATATTTAACTTGGGAGGTGGGGGAACGTATTTCCTGGGGCTCTGGATTAAAACTACCTGATCTTCCTCCCAAACACTGGAGCAATTTTTGGAGCTTCTGGAACCGATGTTTCTTCAGCACCTTCACTATCTTCCTGATGGAGATTGTATGAAATGTTTCCATATTCTCTTAAAAGTGGGAAAATTTCAAGCAGAAATTGACAGAAGTCTCTGTGAATACCAAACCACTAATGATTGCCCCCTTTTCGCCTAAATGTTGTGACCATTAAAGTTAGTAACAAAAGCCAAAGGGGGACAAATATGGAGATATAGGAGAATGTATTGCGGCCATCCAATCTGTGAACCAGCAGGACCTCAAAGGTGAGCAGGGCACGACGGCAGTCGTTATCCAGCTGATGTCCATGGTCACGTGTATTCTTCACTGCCCAGTAGTTCTCATTTGTTCTTTTTCTAGTTTTTTAAGGTGGAAGCTGATGTCATTGATTCAAAACCTTTCTTTTCTTTTCTCTTTTTTTTTTTGGTAGATAAGGTTTCACTCTGTTGCCCACACTAGAGTGCAGTGGCACAATCATGGCTCACTGCATCCTTGACTTCCCGGTATTGACCTGCCTGCCCCAGCCTCTCAAGTAGCTGGGACCACAGGTGTACACCAATATACCCAGCTAATTGTTTTAAATTATTTGCAGAGACTGGGGTCTCTCTGTGTTGCCCAGGCTGGTCTTAGAACTCCTGGGCTCAGGCAGTCCTCCTGCCTTAGCCTCCGAAAGTGTTGGAATTACAGGCGTGAGCCACCGTGCCCAGCTCTTTCTTTCTTTTCTAATGTAGGTGCTTGCTGCTATGAATTTCCCTCTAAGCACTGCTTTAGTGGCATTCCACAAATTCTGATATGGTGTGTTTTCATTTTCATTCAATTCAAATACTTTCTAATTTACTTCTTTGACCAATGAGATATTTAGAAGCTATTATTTACTCTCCAAATATTTGGGGATTTTCCAGATATCTTTCTGTTACTGATTTATAGTTTAATACCACTGTGGCCTGACCTTTTTGATTTATATAAACTGAATCCCTTTAAATTTATTGAGGTTTGTCTTACAGCCCAGAATGTGGTCTGTCTTGATAAATGTTATGTACACTTGAACATTTGCTATTGGGTGGAATGTTCTATACATATCTAATTAGGTCAAATTGATTGATAATGTTCAACCCTTTTATATCCTTACTGATTTTGTCTACTTGTTCTATCAGTTATAAGAGAAAGCATCTGGCCAGGCACGGTGATATGTGCCTGTAATCCTAACACTTTGAGAGACTGAAGCAGAAGGATTGCTTGAGCCCAGGAGTTCAAGACCAGCCTGGACAAGGCAGGGAGACCCCATCTCTACAAAAAGCAAAAAATTAGTTGGGTATGGTGGTACACACCTATAGTCCCAGCTACTCGGGGCTGAGGTGGGAGGATTGCTTGGGCCCAGGAGTTGGAGGATACTCCAACTGTGATCGTACCACTGCACTGTAGCCTAAGCAACAGACTGAGATTCTCCAAAAAAAAAAAAAAAGGAGGTGACATCTAACTATCCTTGTAGATTTGTCTATTTCTTACAGTTCTCTTAATGTTTATGTCATTAATTTTGACTCTATTGTGAAGTATGTAAGCATCTAGGATTGTTGTGCCCTCTTGTTAAATTGACCCCTTTGTTGTTATGAAATGACCTTTATCTCTAGTAATCTTTGTTCTGAAATCTACTTTGTCTAATGGCTAGCTTTTAAAAATTATTGTTATATCAATAAATTTATTTTTCCATCCTTTTAACTAATTTATATCTTCATAAAGTGTTTTTGTTTTGTTCTGCTTTGTATAGATAGCATATAGTTTGAATATAAAAGCAAGACCCTCTGATGGTCTCTGTCTTTAAAAGAGGTTGTTTATGCCATTAATATTTAATATGATTATTGATATGGTTACATTTAGATCTATTATCTTACTATTTGTCTCATCTATTTTGTTCTGCCTTCTTCTGATGTGATTATTTTTTATGGATGTGTTTTCTTTCTTTTATTGGCTTATTAGCTATTGACTTTGTTTTGGTTATTTTAGTAGTTTCTTTAGGGCTCAAGTACAGATTTTTAACTTACCAGTTTATTTTATCTTCAAAAATGTCTGCTGCAGATAAACAATATGTTGCAGATAAGAAAGCTGCAATATTTTAAAATAGGAACAGCCTGTAGCTTTGACTCATGGAGAAACTGCTTGTTTCTCCTGAGTCTTTATTCTCCTGGAAATTACTGTTCTTTCATGCTCTAATAAATGTCAGCCAAGCACTTCTAGAAAAGTGTTTTATAATTAATACTTAGGACTGAAACATCATCCTTGAACATTTAGCAGTTTTTTTCCTAAAGTCATTTCTCTAGCCTACTGTTAAGGAATATTTCCAAGTTCATGGTAATTTTCTTATAAAACTAACTTATCTTAAATTTTTACTCTGCTTTCTTGAGGTGTTCAGAATGAGAATTATACATTGGCCACAACCTGAGAAAGGATCAGAGATGTTTTATATTCTAGTATTAATAGTCTCTCACAAGCACGTAGAATCTAAATGAATGTTTTCTCATTCCTTATGTCACTTTCTCAGCAAGACACGCCTATGAAATAGGAAAAACAGGTGATTTTACAGAGGAAGAAACTCAGGGCCCAAGAGTTAAGGTCCCTTACCACCAGGTCATTCAGTGTATTAGTGACAAAATTGGAACCCAAATCCTGGTCTTTCTCTCCTTTGGTGCCATACGACTTCACACTCATCCTTGACTTAATACCACTGTCATAATTGCTTTTTCCTTAGGCTTCCTTGCAGAGGTAGCTAATGGTAGTTTAGTGTTCCCCAAGGGAGTTTTTTGCTTTTCAACTGGGCTAGGTAAGCTGGGATTAATAGCTGAGTAAACATTCATATGTGACAGAACAAATCTGACAGAGAAATGGATTTTTTTTCCAGCCTTAATCTAGAAGTGAAGCATGACTAATGAATAAGTCATTTCTATTTGTAGCTGAAATATAATAACCCATTGTAATACATTTTGCTCAAAGGGAGATCGGTGGAGATGATAAGAGCCAGTGGCTGTATATATTAATATGCAAATAACTACATTCTGTTGAGTATCAAAGGATAGGGCCTGGCTTATACCCTGAATTGCCCTTGTTTTTTCAGTGACCATGGATCTACTTTTATTCTGAATCCCAGGTCCTTGGTTGTCTGAAGAATGAAGATGAAGCAAATTCTTTGAAGTATTTAGAGCCAGAGGGTGCAGCTGGATGCATAGAAGGAATGTTGGACCAAGAATACAGAAATCTGGGTTCTAGGTCTAGCTCTGCCCTTGATTGATGATATGAAGCAAAGCATTTAAACCTCAGTAGTAATAATACATACTTAATACGATTGTTGAGAGTATTAAATGACATATTGATAAAGTGTTTAGCACTGTGTGGTGCCTAGCTCAATGCATAGCAACCAGCACTTTCTTCATTCTTCTGGTACCTAATTGTAACGTTGGGCAATTGTCTTTCCCCATTTGAACTTAGTTTCTCCATTTCTGAAAAGTGAATTTGTTGTATTGTAGTACCTTTCCAACACTGACCTTTTATGGTAGGATTATGAATTGGTTATCCTTCCATAAGCTCGTGACCTCCTGGTGTTGGCTGTGGTTATAGTGGTCATCTGAGTCCGAGAGAGGTTGGATTGTTCTATTGATTCTGATGTACTCTTTATTTACAGACCACTACATATACCCGCCGGGGCCATGGGACATGCACCAGCCCAGGGTGCTCCTTTACATATGTCACCAGGCACAAGCCACCTAAGTGCCCTACCTGTGGTAACTTCCTAGGAGGGAAGTGGATTCCAAAGGTAAGGTACATTGGCTGTTGCTGCTTTGGAAGCCTCACAGAGTAGGCTTTCTGTTTGCCATTAGGAACAGATGATTTTTAAAAAGTTAACATTTGTTTTTACTGTCTGACCATACAAGTAAATCATTTCCATTATATATAGTTTGTTTAAAAAACACAAGAAAAATAAATTGTTATCCAAACTCATATACCATCCAAAGAAAAGCCATTATTAACATTTTGGTGTACTTCGTTCCAGTCTTTTTTTCTGTGAATAAGTTCTGCATCTGTTTTTTTCTTCTTCTTTCCCTTCTTTTTTTCCTTTTCCAATAGAGATGGGGTCTTGCTCTGTTGCTCTGGCCTGAAACTGTCTCCTGTCTTGGCCTCCGAAAGTGCTGGGATTACAGCACTGTGAGCCACTGTTTTCCCTTTTTTTCTATTTTTTCATGGATATCTCCAATACTATAATATTTTACTTTTTTAAATTTAACATATCATGCCTTTAAATATTCTTCAGAAATATTACCTGTTTCATAATTTCCATGAACTACTACACCATGTTTATTTACTTATTTCTGTCATCCCCTTATCTATATATATAGATGTCTATATCTGTGTCTTTAACATTTTTATTTAACACTCATCGCCAGTTAACAGTGTTTCTGTTTATGTCACATTGTGAGTTCCTTAATGACCTTGGTATCCCCCACAGTCTTTGCCCATAGAAGACACTCAAGAAATAAATGAGCATCACAGCTGTGCCCTTTTGAAGTTGTGTTTAACATGCTGTCACCTGTGTATGCTTGGTGCGCACCAGATAAAACATACATACTTGCTACATTTTTTATATGAAACTATACATTTTAAGGGCTAAAATGGATGGAATAGGCAGTAAATTCTCACCTAGTTCAGAGAGGAGAGACATTTATAAGGCCTGGGACAGACAGGGAAGGTTTTATAGAAGAGAGAGAGTCTTGAAGAATAACAGAATTTGGGTGGGTAGAAAAGGAAAGAGAGGACATTATTTTAGTGAAAATTGCTTAGGTTGGGATTGTGATGATCACATGTTTAACTCAGCATGGTCCAAACTTATATATGTGTAGAAAAACCTTATAGCAGCATACCTTAAATTTCTCCAGGGCAATTTTCACATCTCTTTGAGAAATAACTGGGATGGTGACTTTTGCCCTCTGGATGAGTGTTTTCGCTTCTGGCTAAGTTCAGGGTAGCACCAATTCCAGGAGACAGAACAGGATAATTGAGAACACAATTCTGGAGTTAGCTACCTCAGTTCAGACCCCTACTTCCCATGGTTTTTAACTATGTAATCTTGGTCAAGACATTCTATATCTGTTCTGGATTTAAGTTTTGTCTCATCTGTAAATAGAAGTTAGTACCTACTTCATTAGGGATGTTAGCAGGGTCACATAAGATTATCCATATAGACTAAATGGCACAGTTTCTGGTATATATTAGATCTTCAGTGAATGCCCTGCTATCATCATAATAGACATCAATGTAATTATTAGCCCTACTATTGCTCTTCATGTTACCACTTCTAGGGTCAGGAAGGACCTAGTGCTAATATCTCACAGGAGGTTTTGTAAAGCTCTTGTGCCATCTTCTCTGATGTGCTTCTGTGAAGCCATCAGCGTATTCCCACTGTATTCCCCAAAAAGACAGTTCTCTAGCTGCAGTAGGGAGATTGAACTGGATAGTAGTCAGAATTTTCCTTGGCCTTTCTTGACCAATGCAAAGCAGGTCTCTTGAATGACCATATTTCCTGCACGTGTGCATGAAAGACTGTCAGTGATCGTTATGGGCTTGTCCCTCCTGCAGGCTATTTTTACTTTGGCTTTTTCATTTCTTGTATGTATGGTTTCTTTCCACTTTGATTGAAATAACTTTTGTTTTTTTTTTGAGACAGAGTCTCTTGCTATGTTGCCTAGGCCCATTTCGAATTCCTGGTCTCAAGTGATCCTCCTGCCTCAGCTTCCTGAGTAGCTGGTACTGTAGGCATATGACATCATACCATCATACCTGGCTTTAACTGAAATAACTGTTTTTGTTTCTGGTTTTTTTTTGAAGATAGAGTCTTGCTATATTGCCCAGGCTGGATGGCACGATCTCAGCTCACTGCAGCTTCCACCTCCCAGGTTCAAGTGATCCTTATGCCTCAGCCTCCCGAGTAGCTGGGATTACAAGCATGTGCCACCACAGCCAGCTAGGTTTTTTTGTATTTTTAGTAAAAATGGGGTTTCACCATGTTGGCCAGGCTGGTGTCGAACTCCTGGCCTCAAGTGATCCACCTGCCTTGGCCTCACAAAGTGTTGGGATTACATGTGTGAGCCACGGTGCCCAGCCTGAAAAACTTTAGAGCCGTGGTTCTCTTACTAAGATCAAGCTGATGGCATGAAAACAATTTTTTTCTTAGCTACCTTCCCCCCATCTTGACTTGCTAAGTCAGAATTTGCCAATGTATTTTGCAAGAATTACCATGTAAAGAGTAGATACTGTGATCTCTAAAGCTTATAGAAACAGAATAAGTGAGAGAAGATAGGTAACATTTTGCCATCAATGCACTTAGAATTTTAGAAATAAAATTGACTTTGATTATCAACTACTTCAACTCTTTTGAGTTTCCAGCTGAGGAAAAATAGATTTTAGAAAAGCGACTTACTAAATTCACACAGCTAATTATCCCATTGCCTTTTCCACTAAACCACACTTCTCAGGCATTGCTATGCTGTTGAGCTGCAGAATGTAAGACAAGCTTGTCCAATCCATGACCCAGGATGGCTTTGAATGAAGCCCAACACAAATGCATAAACTATCTTAAAACATTGAGATTTTTTGTTTTTTAACAACTGGTAATCAATGTATTAAAATAGTTGACTTAAGCATCTGTAGTGGTGACTTCCGTCTCAACTCCTGGCTCAGTACTGATGGAAGTAATCTGCTTAATTTCAGAAGGACTGTGCAAGTCAATTAGTTGTTTGTGGATTCTCCTATGGAAACATTCCTGTGTCTTAGAACCTTGACCACAAATTTTTCGTGTAGTGATTCTCAAAGTCTTGGTAGGCATTCGAACTGATCCTTTCACTGAGATTATTTTCCTTTGCTCCTCTGATCAAGTCAGCACACATCTTCTCCAGGGATTTTTTGTTGCAGCTCGTTAGAATGATTTGAATTCGGTGAATTGCCACCTCCAGCTCCATGAGTGTTTTTCCGGTATCTTTAAAAGCCTTGGCTGCAGCGGGCTTCCTGACCGACTTGTTCCTTGGCGAGAGAGAACAGCGGTGAGTCAGGAGCAGGAGCGGGCAGGAGCGGGCGGACCGCAGCTCTGCACCACCTACGACCGTGTCTTCCTCAAAGAGCAAAACATTACGATATTTTTGTGTGTGTGATTATTTTATTTTTTTTTTTTTTAACTCATCAGCTATTGTTAGTGTATTTTATGTGTGACTCAAGACAATTCTTCCAGTGTGGCCCAGGGAAGCCAAAATTGGACACCCTTGATCTATTAATAAAATTTCTTGAATTCTGATTTTTGAAGCAGCAAGTATAATTTGTCTCTAAAAGCTCCAAGTGTGTTTGTGCCAGGCAGGAAATGACTTGCCTTTTGTTGTATTGTTCTAGAGTTCATACAGGCTAAAGTTAGCCCAAGAAATATGTGGCATAGTTCTCAATGAATTGAATAAAACAAAAGATAGTATATAAGGCTGTTTAGCTCAAGGCTTCATTCTTAAGGCTCTCCAATGGCAGCAACTGAGGTCTCTCTGAGCCTGCAGCCTGTTTTATTTACCTTAAATTTTGAAAGTAACATCTAATATGAGTAGGCTGAGTTAATGAAATGTGAGATCACCAGGTAGAGTTGTTTTGCTCAGGTTGCTTAAATTACCCAATCTTTCTGCAGTGATTTTTGTCTAAAATAGCCTACTTAGTAGGCAGTGTTTGCCCAAAGATCTTATCTCAAGAAATGAGTTTAGTCTCCTGTTTTTCTAATAAATTTTCTCTCTCCTGCAGTAAATAAACTCTGTGCACTTGACTTGGAATTTCTCGTCATGTTAACTCACTCTCTTAGAATCTGAGAATGCTTTACCAAAGAGCTCTTAAGAGGTCACCTGTTACTGGCTCTTCTTTTTTTTTTTCCAGACAGGGACAGGGTCTCGCTCTGTCATCCAGGCATGAATACAGCTCACTGCAGCCTCAGCCTCCTGGGGTCAAGTGATCCTGCCACCTCAGCCTCTCTAGTAGCTGGGAAAACAGGAACACAGGCTGCATACCACCATACCTGGCTAATTTTTTTTTTTTTTTTTGTAGCGATGTGGTCTTGCCATGTTTCCCAAACTGGTCTTGAACTCCTGGGCTCAGGCGATCCTCTTGCCTCAGTTTCCCAAAGACTTAGGATCACAGGCATAAGCCATGGCGCCTTGCTGTTACTGGTTCTGAACTAGAAGTGCAGTGTGCAGATGGCTTTAGAAATGTTGAGGGGTTTTGGGGTAGTAAGCTACTGGGAGATAAATCATATTGAAATTTAATGACATTGGCACAGACACTAAACTTCTGTAATGTGCAGGGAGGTCCTCCACGCTGAATAATTAGGTCACCCAAAATGCTGTCTGGCTCCTGTTGACAAACACTGAGAGCCCAACCCTTTGCTATTTCATAAGGGGGAATGAGGATTCAATTGAAGCTTGCCTTACACCACATAACTAATTAGGAGTGGAGCTAAGCTTGATAGAACCTAGCCTTTATGTTTCCTAGTTTACAGTGCCCTTCACGATATGCATGGTGGGTAGAAGACCTTTCTGAAACCTATTCCAGAGACAACCACTATTTAAAAACTTTTTTTTAAAGTGTGCGGGTGTGTATGTAATACTGTTATTTCCACTGCAGTGCTAATTGGATAAAAGCTGAGACACCAAGGGCTTTTTAAAACCAGGTCTAGCTAAAATAGCGGCTGCCATTTTTAGTGAGTTTGAGTATTTATAGCAGATAATAATGCATGAGTTAATTTGATCCAGTGCAAAGTATGTGACATATGTGTAAGTCATTCTTAAGACTCTGGAAGAATCTTAAGAATTTTAAAGAATCTGGAACAAAAAATAGAATTTTTCCCAAAGGAGGTGAGAAAATTTGAATCTGTCCACATGAGGTTGTGGCCACACTGGGATTAACTGAATCTCGTAAAAGGACCACCAAGGTGAACAACTTAGGACTTTTAGTTCCTGTATGGCAGTATGTCACCCTCTTTCTAGACACAGAGAAGTAGGCTTTGAATAATGTCAAATTAAATGTAAAACTAAAAAATGCCGACATTTGGTTGATGAAACCTGGAGAGGCTTTTCAATAAGAATTCATTAGAAGATGAATAGCTTTATTCAGATGAAGGCGTTTAATACTATAGTGAAAGGAGCCTGTAGCCAGAAGACTTAGATTCAGGCTAGTTTTACACTTGAGACCTTAAGTTAACTTCTTCGTTTCATGGACCTTAGTTTCCTTATTTGTCGCCCATATGTTATTAAAATGATCAAATGAGAGAATGTTTGTGAATGTCATCAACTGTAAAATGCCTTATGTATACAAGGTATTCTTATTTTTCTAGGAAAAGCCAGCCAAAGTAAAAGTGGAATTGGCTTCTGGTGTCTCTTCCAAAGGCTCTGTGGTGAAAAGAAATCAGCAACCTGTCACCACTGAGCAAAATTCCTCTAAGGAAAATGCCTCCAAACTGACTCTGGAGAATTCGGAAGCTGTAAGCCAGCTCCTGAATGTAGCTCCTCCCAGAGAAGTAGGTGAGGAGAGTGAGTGGGAGGAAGTGATCATCTCCGATGCCCATGTTTTGGTTAAGGAAGCTCCTGGGAATCGTGGTACAGCAGTCACTAAGACACCAGTCATCAGAAGTGGTGTGCAGCCTGAGGTCACTCTGGGGACAGCTGACAATGACAGTCCTGGAGCAGACATACCAACACCATCTGAGGGGACAAGCACCTCCAGTCCACTCCCTGCTCCTAAAAAACCTACAGGGTAAGTCAGTGTGTTTGTATAATATAGAGTTGTATTTAAAATAACAGCTTTGGAAATACCCCATGTTTGTTTTATCCCATGTCCTTACAGCATGCCTTAGAGAGGCAGCAGAGCCCAGGCAGTGGTTCCTGTTTTAGAGATACAGAAACCAAGGCCTAGAGATATATAAAGATTGTCCATTCCCCTTGGACTCTGCTATCCATGTACTGCTGTCAGATTGCTTAGACATCTCTTCTTATCAGTCTCCCTAAAGCAGTTATTAGAGTCTTGCTGGCACAGGCTCTGGGCAGTATTAAAACTGTGAGTTACCAGTCCTGGATACTGGATTTGGAAAGAGAAGCTTTATTAAAGCATCCTGTAGAAAGAGTTCTGGCCTAATGGTCAGAGAACTCAGTACTGGTTCCAACTGTTTCTGGCTTCTGTTTGACCTTGGTCGTTGTCACTTCATGTCTGTTGACCTCAGTTCTCTCCTCTGAAAAATCTTGAGTTGGGTATTAGAAAATCTCTTCCTCACAGGCTGACTGTACAAACTGAAGATTGTGTATAAAACATGCAACCGAGTACCTTGTAAGTTGGAGGAAGTCACTATCTTTTTCTCCCCTTTTCCTCCTTAATTGATTCTGCGTATATTCCTTCCCTGAGGAAGTTGTGTTCTTGTAACTGAAGACCCTTATTTGTATCAGTGGTTCTCAACTGGTAACAGTTGTGCCCACAGTGGACACCAGAAGCCAATTCCACTTTTAACTTTGGCTGGCTTTTCCTGGAAAAATAAGAATGCCTTGTATACCTTGTATACAAATATGTATGTGTGCATGTATATATATTTTTCCTACTTTTTTTTTTTAAACACAAATCATAGCACAACATACTTCTACATCTTATTTTTTATTTTTATGTTTATTTTTATTGTTTGAGACAGGGTCTCGCTTCGTCATTGAGGCTGGAGTGCAGTGGCGCGAACACAGCTCCCTGAAGCCTCACCCTCCCGGGCTCAGTCGATCTTCCCATCTCAGCCTCTCGAGTAGCTGGGACTACAGGCACGCACTACCACACCTGGCTAATTTTTGTATTTTTTTTTGTAGAGATGGGGTTTTGCCATGTTGCCCAGACTGGTCTCGAACTCCTGGGCTCAGGTGATCCACCTGCCTTGGCCTCCCAAATACATCTTGCTTTTTTTTTGGAATGGAATCTCGCTGTGTCGCCCAGGCTGGAGTGCAGTGGTGCCATCTCATTTCACTGCAAGCTCTGCCTTCTGGGTTCACACCATTCTCCTGCCTCAGCCTTCTGAGTAGCTGGGACTACAGGCGCCTGCCACCACGCCCGGCTAATTTTTTGTATTTTTAGTAGAGACAGGGTTTCACCTTGTTAGCCAGGATGGTCTCTTTGATCCTGACCTTGTGATCTGCCCACCGTCGGCCCTCCAAAGTGCTGGGATTACAGGCGTGAGGCTACTGCGCCTGGCCCCTCTTTGTTTTTTTTTAAAAAAATGTGTGCAATATACTTTGGCGATGGTTTTGTATATTTAAAGGGCTGAACCTATGCACTTTAGATTTTGTTTAAGACATGGTAATCACTTTTTATTTAGGCCTTCTGCAGTGCGGGCCTGCTGTCAACATTTGGTGCTGCAAAGATGAAGCAAACATGGCTCTGTTCTTCTAGGGTCTCTAAGCTGCTGTTATATAAGTTTGTGTCTAAAAGGTAGATTAAATGTTTATAGCCTATATAGCCGGATTGCGCATTACTGGCTATGACATTGTTTCAACTTCTTTGTCTTCGCAGTGGACTCTCATAGTATAGGTAATTACCGTCCATTTTACCATGGTTAGAACTGGAAGTGTATAAGGAGATGAATTACTTGGCCCCCAGGCGGCACAGACTATTTAGTGTTGAATTTGAACTCAATCTGTGCTAAAAGCTTGATGTCTGAACCATCTTCCTCTAATAAAGCACTATATGAAGATGCTTTTGGTTTTCTTCCCTTTGTTCCCGAATTCCAGATTTCTTTCTTATCTTTTAGGTTGACCTGGCTTACCCTGGGTCCAGGCTCGAGCTTAAAGGCAGAGCACGGGGGCAAGCCTCATTTACTGGGTGCAGCAAGATCCATGAGGTAGGATTTTGCCAGCCCGTTATGTGTGGCGAGGCAGCAGCATGGGACTGCAGGGCCAGGCAGGCCTTCTTCCTGGGGTGGTAAGGGCTGGGATACCTGGGATGGAGGGCTGTCGATGGGAAAGGACAGAGGAGTAGGGGGGGTTGAGAAATGGACATAGAGCCTTGGGGGAGCCTCTGAATGCACTGAAGTCACCAGGTTTTGGCTCCTGTTTCTCTCAAGATAGACTCCTTCTGTGAGGGACTTGTGGTCTGAACCAAGCCCACATGAAGCAGGGCTGGGCCAGCCCTTCAACCAGCATTCTGGCCTGGTTGAGGTGAAGTAAGACCTCATTTTCGATGGGAGCTGTTTGAGGGTCTGGCTGCTGCCATTTAATGTATCAAAACTATAGGTAAAGGCAGATCCCAATTCTTACACGTTGGCAGACCTCTGGGAGGAGGTTAACATGAATGATTTATCTATTTTTTAAGTAATTTCTTTTTATAAAGTGAATACATGTTTTTAAACCTTTTACTTAGAAATAATTTATAACAGAAAAAAGTCGCAAAAATAAAAATAGTACAGAGAACACCCATATACTCTTTACCTAGAGTGACCTATTGTTAATGTATTAGCCCATTTTGCTTTATCTTTTTTGTTCATGTGTCTTCCCCCCGCCATGTGTGGGTGTGTACACGTGCATGTGTGTAAAATACACATTATAGGGTAAGTTATGCCTTTATGCTTGTTTGTGTATTTCATAAGAATAGGGATATTCTTTTTTTTTTTTTTTGGTGGCGGGGTCTTGCTCTGTCACCTAAGCTGGAGTGCAGTGGCACAATCTTAGCTCACTGCAGCCTCCACCTCCTGGGTTCAAGTGATTTTGCTGCCTCAGCCTCTCCTGAGTAGCTGGGATTTCAGGAGCACACCACCATGCCCAGCTAACTTTTGTATTGTTGTTAGAGATGGGGTTTCACCATGTTGGCCGGGCTGGCCCTGGACTCCTGACCTCAAGTGATCCACGCACCTCAGCCTCCTAAAGTGCTGGGATTACAGGCGTGAGCCACCATGTCCAGCCTAGAATAGGGATATTCTTTTACTGAAACATTGATGCATACCTTTACTTTCCCATTCATATTCCAAATTGTGTCAGTTTGACCTGTGAGCCCTGAAAATCTGAGACAGGTCTCAGTTAATTTAGAACGCTTATTTTGCTAAAATTGAGGACATGCACCTGGGACACACCCTCGGGAGGTCCTGATGACATCTGCCCAAGGTAGTCATAGCAGTTTGGTTTTATACATTCTAGGGAGACATCAATCAACATACACAAGATGAACATTGATTCAGTCTGGAAAGGCAGGACAACTCGAAGCAAAGGCAGGAAGACTCAAAGCAGGGAGGGGGCTTCTAGGTCGTAGGTAGATAAGAGACAAGTGGTCGCATCCTTCTGAATTTCTGATTAGCCTCTCCAAAGGAGGCAGTCAGATATGCATTTATCTCAGTGAGCAGAGGGTGACTTTGAATAGAATGGGAGGCAGGTTGACCCTAAGCAGTTCCCAGCTTGACTTTTCCCTTTAGCTTAGTGATGTGGGGACCCCACGATTTATTTTCTTTTCACAGACCCAATTTTATATATATATATATTTTTTTTTTTTTTTTCTTCCCCCAGAAACAAGGTCTTACTGTGTTGCCCAGGCCGGAGTGCCGTAGTGCAATCATAGCTCACTTCTGCCTCGAACTCCTAGGCTCAAGGAATCCTCCCGACTCAGCCTCCTGAGTAGCTGGGTGCACAGGCAGGCACCATCATACCAAGCTAATTTTTAAATGTTTTTTTTTGTAGAGGTGGGGTCTCTTGCTGTATTGCCCAGGCTGATCTCAAAACTCCTGGCCTTAAACGATTCTCCCTCCTTGACCTCCCAAAGTACTGGGATTACAGGCATTAGCCACCTCACCCAGTGTCTTTTTTATTTTATTGTATATTTTTAAAGCCTCTCCCATTCTAGGACAGTTCCTTTACATGGCATATTTTTCTCCAGTCTAAGATCCAGTCTAGGATCAGATATTAACATTTAGTTGTCATGTCTCTTTAGCTTCCTTTTAAAAATGAATGCATGATTGTAGAAAATAAAGAAAATTCAGGTAAAGGAGAAAGAAGAGTCCCTTATGATCCTGCCACCCAGAATGACCATCTGATATGCTTTCAGGTCTTTTCCTGAATTTGTGTGTGTTTATTTTTTACAATTTTTTAAAAATCAGAAACTTGGCTCTTACTCCATATACTAGTTTGTGGCTTATATTTTCACTTCATTTAGTGATACAGATATTAAAAATTTTCTGGGTGTCCAGATTCCATGGATTAGTGGGGTTTGTTTGTTTGTTTTTAGCTGTATGTAGCTAGAATAATTATCAAGGTTTTTTTTTTTCCATGTCAAATGGGTAATGTGCTGACATTATAATGAGGTTTGAGGGAGGCACATCTCACCCATGTGCGTGAATACCAGATCGTCGTACTTGTGAGCTATAAAAGGATCTATCAAAATGTCCTTAGCTAGCATTTTTCAAGCTTTTGATCATGACCCTCAGTAACAGGCATATTTTTATATTACTGCCTAGTAAACATATATACTAAAGGTTTAATGAAGCTGTGCCCTTACTATATGCAGTCACTTTTTTTCTCATTCGTATTTGCAAAATGCTGGTTTCAACCCATTAAATTAATGTTATGACTCCTCATTGGATTGTGGCCTGTAGTTTGCAGACTGTGTCATGGACCAGGTTGGAATAGGAAAACAGGTCTGCCATCTTCCTTTTCATGTGTTCTTTGTCAGTTAACTTCCTTTCTTTAACAGTTTTACATTTGCCCTGACAGGAATATCAACTGGCTTTTACTTTGAGAATTATTTTATTTTCCACACAGATATGGCAGCTCTGGGTGTATGTGTGATCTTGCGGTGTAAAAGGAAGGTATCTGGTTAGTGTCGGTAGTTTTGTAGATTTCCAGCCCCTAGATTCCTTCATGTACACTCTGTTACTTGGGTCAACCCCCGTCTTCTCTGTAAATAGTTTCCTTTTGATTGGTGACATTGGGTATTTGTTAAAAGCCACAAACTCTTTTACTAGTCTTAAACCAGTAAACAGGTACATGAAATACTCTGAAAATCAACTTAAATTCATTATTATAGAATAATTTTAATTTTGTTTGCTTTATCTTTTCTCTTTTTAGCTATATAAGTAAAATATGCATTCCTTATAAAACATTTGAGGCTCATACCTCTAATCCCAGCACTTTGGGAGGCTGAAGTGGGAGGATTGCTTTAGTCCAGCAGTTCAAGGCCAGCCTGGGCAACATAGTGAGACCCACATTGCTACAAAAAAAAAAAAGAAAATTTTGTAGATAGTGGTAAAGAGGGAGAAACAACCATGATTGTCCTCTTACCCTGTGACATTTTAGTGAATAATCTTTCAGACATCTTTCCATGCAAAGTTGTTCAACCATGTATTTGTATGTATAAAAGCTATTATGTGCTTTTATAACTCAGTAGTAGTTACAAATCTGATTCATGGTGTTTCTAATACCTGGTATTAGAAACTGCACAGAAGCCTGTGGCAAGCCCTGGACTTGAACATGACACTCAGCCTTTGGTGGACTGGTGACTGCCAGCTGGCAGTCCAGAGGGCTCATTTGGAGAATAGCTCTACAAATTCCCTGGGAAAGCATTCCCTCAAGTTGTTTCAGGACATGGGACCTCAGGAGTTTGGCTAAGGTTCAAAAGCACTAAACAATTTGTTCTGATCCATAGCTACCAAGTGGCCCATCCAACAGGACTTCTCAGGTGAAAGTTGTGGAGGTCAAGCCCGATATGTTTCCTCCATATAAGTACAGCTGCACTGTGACATTGGTAAGTATGCAGCTAGGTGGTGGTGGGTTGACATGGAGGTTGTTTTGATTTTGTGGTTGAAGGTCAGTAGGAGGCTCGGGGAGAGGGTGGTTGTAGCTGGGAGGGAGAACAGCGTCAGGTATAGATTGTTAATGCTGAAGATCCCGTCCCTGATGCAAATGATAGCTACTGGATAAATCTGCTGGGTTGTTGTGGTCTCTTTCCAGGTGAGATTTATAAAGTGTAGGACAGCTGAGATTAGTGTATTTTTATTGAGAGCTGCCAGAGATGAGAATCCAGTCCAGATTTAACATTTAGCAGTCTTGGAACCTTTTAGCTTAGAAAGGGTGTTCCACAGTTACATTTAGGCGACATTGCCTTTTTCTCCCTAAAACAGAGTCCAGTTCAACACTGCTATCTTAAAGTAAAATAGAGAAGTACTTTAGTAAAGCAACTTATTTTGTTTAGCCTAGTGTTTCCCACAGGGGTTTTCTCTTTATTTTTTAACATAACACATATTAACATCCTAATGGACACATGTGTGACATTGGGATCACCCTTTTGTAGGGCAGGCAGCATAGAGCAGGGAAATAAATGCCAGACAGCTGAGAGACTTGGTCCAAAAGGAGTTCTGGCTCTGCTGCTAGCATGCCGTATGCCCCTGGGCAAGATTCTTTCCTTCTGTGGTCCTCAGTTTCACTGTCTGTAAAATGCTGCATTGGTTTGGACATCTTTGGGGCATCTGTCACTCTCAATATTCCCTAATTCTGTTGATGCTTAAAGTATCAACCAGCCAGATGTCTTTTGGCAGTTTCTCAAGCTGATTTGATTAAGATGAACAGATTTTGAGAGAACAGCTAGATTTTTAAAAATTCTGGCCTCATAATGGCAAACAGGTTCAGAAAGGGTCATTCATTTGTTCAAAAAATATTTATTGAGCACATATTCTGTGCCAAGCTCTGTGCTGGGGATTCAGTAGCAAACAAGACAGCACGGTATGATGGGTTAATGTCTGGTCTGACCGGATCCCTAAGGAGAATGTGTCTCTTATCCTGGAGATGTGCTCAGATTTCTTTTTCCCGTGACCTAAATATAATCACTACCTTCTCCATGCCTTTACTCTCCATTCCCTTTGGCTACAGGAGGCAACTAGATTTACCATTTAGGGGGAACTACCCCTAAGTAGACCCTCTCTTCTGCTGATTAATTAGTAACTTGTCATAGGAGCTTAGATGCTAGAGCTTTAAGCTTTAATAGTCCATAAGTCACAGTTTGTCTTCAGGCAGGGCTTGAACTCTTTAGTTCACCAGTCTCTAGCCCTCTTTGTTTAAACAGACCTGCTTCACTCCACCAACTGCCTGAACCCTGAAGGCATTTGAGTTTCTGACCATTGAGAGTCTACTCTCTTGTTTCACAGATAGGGAAGGACTGGACTGGATTTGCCAAAAATTTATAGCCTATATTAAAAGTAAAAGGGTTAACTGCAGAAAAAAGGTTAAGGCTCCTGAAGTTAGGCTGAATCTGGTTTGCAGTTGCCACTCTCTTCTCTGATTTACTGGCAGCTGCTCATTCTGGTTCTGGGCTCTGCCCAGGTTTAACTTAATTTTTGTAGAATTGAACATTGGTCTTACTTTTTAGGATTTGGGCCTGGCTACATCAAGAGGCCGGGGAAAGTGCAAGAATCCCTCTTGTAGCTATGTCTACACCAACAGGCACAAACCTCGGATTTGTCCCAGCTGTGGTTTTAACCTTGCCAAAGACCGGACTGAGAAAAACACCAAGGCTATCGTGAGTTCTTTCCCCAAACACATCCCCTGGCCTGTTCTGGGCTCTGTTAGTGAACCTCTCTTAGTAGAAATAAGAGGATTTTTAAAGTACATGGTGGTAGTTAGAGCATCCAAACTGGAACCAGATTGTGGGTTCTGAACCTGAGCAAGTGCCGCCTTTTCTCTGAGCCTCCTTGTCCCCATTGCCAGGGTGAAGGGGTTGATTAGGTACCTTGATCTCTGAGAACCAAGAGTTCATTCACTGAAGAGAATGATATAGCACAGGCCTTAAGTAGGAGTCAAAGGAGAGGGATGAAAGGGTTGCATCCTCTTACCTCTGAGGCCTGATACTAGATCTGTAAGTTGATTTACTGTTTTGGTAAATAGAGAATGCCAAAGCTAAGACTTTGTAGATTAGGGCACCACTGCTTTCTCAGGTTCCTTGGAAAGCTTTTAGCTAATCAAAGCTTTATTTCTAGCAGTCTAGGCAAACCTCCTCTCTCAAGTTGGGCCAAACTACTTGGATAGTAAAATACATTCCACTTGGCTCCTTAGGGCTGCTATTATTACTATTACCAGGAAAAATGGGCATTTTCAGAGGTCCTCAGAATTTCCGTATGAGTTTTTTAAAGTGAACAGAAAACAATTGCACTTGAGGCAGCAAATGGAATGACTAAAATAAGGGTAAGAAGAGAAATGTCACTGATCTGCCTTGGGGAAAGAAGGGATGGCACATAGAACAAACAGGTCAGGACCTGAGATGGAGCCTGGTCACTCCAGATCAAGTCTGGACCTTGAAAGACAGGCAGGTTTTGGATGGAAGGGGAAGGCATGCCATACTTAAGGACAAGTGTGAGTGAAAATGTGAGAAAGGAAAGTGGAACCAAAGTATGTGGGCACTAATGACTTGGTGGGAAAAACACTGGGGCTGGGAGTGACCCTGAGTTGGAAGCTTCCCTCTCCCGAGCTTTGTTTCTCCATTGGTAAAATAAGGTGGGCAAGGTAGATTAGATCTGGGCATTTTACTGTCAGAGCCAGGAGCCTTAGAGAAGACTGAGAATTGAGCTTCAAGGAGTTTATAAATCCCTGAAATTTCATGCAAAATGGGTCCGTAGCTTTCATCAGATTCTCTTGCTCCACTGGATGCCTACTGCTGGAAGTAAGCTTTCTTCCCAGATTTTCAATGAGTTTTAATGTGCTCCTCTTGCCATAGCACTGATCACACCCCATATTGACTGCTTTTCTTAACTCCCTAGGAGACCACAATCTCTCCTAGGCCAGGTATGTCTGTTTTTCCTGCACCTTCTAACCCTGGAGCTTATATATTCAAAGTGTGTCTATCTGTAATTAGGAGATAGAATTGAGTTTTGTGTAGGTAGAAGCTCTGAGCATTCCTTTCTTCTTCCAGTTCATTTTAGCTATTTTTGCGGTTTGCAGTGGAAGTGGATGTTACTCTCTAGATCTAGGATGATGAAGTGACTTAACTTTTCAAGTGACATAGGAAATTATCTAGGGACCTCTTGCCAATTTCAGATCCCACTCTTAAAACTTATATCCCTCTGTATTTGGTTAACTGAGAGCTGCCCACCCCCAGGACTCACCTCTGCAGACCCTCCATCACTTTCCAATCTCCTAAAGTTTGGAGAAATACAATGTAATTATTGCTTTCCACAAAATAAAGCACTGGTGAGAACCACAGGTACCTTCTTGTGTGTTGTCATTTGGAGTCCCCTGGTGGCCAAAGGTTTTCACATCTCTGAGCTGGAATGGTCTTCAGTCCTTTCTGTTCTTCATCTCTGGCTAGAGTCACAGGACAGTATTCCTGCCAAGTGGTCTCCAGCTATGGTTTCATAGTCATGACTGAGAACACACAGCCTCTCGGGGCAGCTCATTCTACTGTTAGTCAGCTCTTCTGTAGCCATTAATTAATTAATTCTCTCAGCCAGCATATATTGAATGCCTGCTATGGGCCAGGCTTTCAGAGATGAATAGGACGTGGCCCTTTTCCTTGAGAAGCTTACAGTCTAGTGGGAGAGAAAGATAACCAAACTATTACAAACGAAAATTGTCATAGGTATGCAGAGTTAATAAAAAGCTCCTTGTTATTAAGTGTCCTAGTCTGTTTTGTGTTGCTGTAAAAGAATACCTGAGGCTAGGCAATTTATAAAGAAAAGAAGTTTATGTGGCTCATAATATGGCAGTCTATACAAGAAGCATAGCACCAACATCTTTTTCTGATGAGGGCCTCAGACTGCTTCCACTCGTGGAGGAAGGCAAGGGGAGCCGGCATGCACAGAGATAACATACAGAAAGAGGAGGCAAAACTCATTCACCACCTCCCTTGCCCCTGCCCCACGTTAATCTACTCACGAGGGATCTGTCCCCCTGACCGAAATATCTCCCTTTAGGACCTGCCTCCAATGTTGGGTTCACGTTTCAGCATGAGATTTGGAGAGGGTAAACATCCAGACTATAGCATTAAGCATTTAACTTCTACAGAACCATGTATAATGTGTCCATCGGATATGAATCAGTATCTTGTGTGTGTCTCAGGCATCATGCTGGTTGGGAATCAGTAAATAAGCAGAATTCCACCCTTACTGAAGCGGGGAGTGCAGTGGTTTAGCAGCTATCAAATGATGAATTCTGCAGTCAAGGGGTGCACTCAGAGAACACAAAGAGGGGAGTGATTTATGCTGCCTTCGCAAAAAGGATCAGGGAGGAGCTCCATTGAAGAGAGACCTGCTTGGCCGGGCGCGGTGGCTCAAGCCTGTAATCCCAGCACTTTGGGAGGCCGAGACGGGCGGATCACGAGGTCAGGAGATCAAGACCATCCTGGCTAACATGGTGAAACCCCGTCTCTACTAAAAAATACAAAAATCTAGCCGGGCGAGGTGGCGGGCGCCTGTAGTCCCAGCTACTCGGGAGGCTGAGGCAGGAGAATGGCGTAACCCTGGGAGGCAGAGCTTGCAGTGAGCTGAGATCCGGCCACTGCACTCCAGCCTGGAAGACAGAGCGAGACTCCGCCTCAAAAAAAAAAAAAAAAAAAAGAGGGAGACCTGCTTGAGAAAGACCTATTTTTAATGAGTATTTCAGAACATTGTTCCTGGAAGCCTCTGACTGGTATATAAAATTACCTTGTACCCAGAAGCCACTGAGAATTAAAGACGGATAACTTTAAGCAGTGCAGATACTTGTTTATATATCAAAACTATCATTCATAGAGCCTTCATTGCACCATAGGCATTGTGTGCTAAGTGCTTTACTTATAATGTCTTATTTAAACTGTGTAATAGCTCTAGATTACTATTTTCATGTGTCATTTCACAGATGAGGAAATTGAGACTCAGAAAGATTAAGTAAATTGCCTTGGGTCCCACACATACAGCTGTTAAGTGGCATATCCAGAACTGAAACCTGGGTCTGTTATCCTCTAAACCCCATACCTGATGAATGAGAGCTAAGTGTTGAATCCATTACCAAGAGTTGTATATAATCCTTTCGTTTACTGATGCAGGTTGAATATCCCTTATCTGAAGTCCTTAATACCAGAAGTGTTTTTGAATTATTTCATTATTTGCAATATTTGCAGAATACATACTGCTTGAACATCCCTAATCCAGTAATTCGAAATCTGAGATGTCTAATGAGCATATCCCTTGAATGTTGTCTCAGTGATCAAAAAGTTTCAGATTTCAGAGCATTTTGGATTTGGGTGCTCAACCTATAGAGAAACTGAGCCCCACAGAGAAAAATAACCAGCCTTTAGTCACACAGTGAGTTATTAGCTGAGCTGGTTAGGAACCTAGGTTTCCCACCTATCAGTCATGGGCCCTATCTGTCTGCTGCTCCCAGTCTTTTATTATTTTAGCCTGAAGCTGGCTCTTTCTGCTCTGAGTGCTTGGTGATCAATCCACTCTCTTCTCAGGAGGTGAGCTCACCACTCCCAGATGTACTGAATGCCACAGAGCCCCTGAGCACAGCCCAGAGGGAGATCCAGCGCCAGTCCACACTGCAGCTGCTGCGCAAAGTCCTGCAGATTCCTGAGAATGAGTCAGAGCTGGCTGAGGTCTTCGCCTTGATTCATGAACTCAACAGCTCTCGACTTATCTTGTCCAACGTGAGTGAGGAGACAGTCACCATCGAGCAAACCTCTTGGTCGAATTATTATGAGTCTCCGTCCACGCAGTGCCTTCTCTGTAGCAGCCCATTATTCAAAGGGGGACAAAAGTAAGCACCCCTTAACTCTGCCCCTAGCTGCCCCATCCCAGTTGGTTCATATTGCTCCTTTCTTCAGAAAACTTATATTAAAGCTGTAACTGTGAAGATGTTATTCTCTGCCGTTTCCAGGCTTCCTTTACCTTTCTGATTGCTAAAAGTAAAGTGATAATTGGTAATTCTCATTTCTGTTGAAATGCCTGAAATTTATCACCAGCTTAGGATTTAGTTTACATCTGGACTGCCCCACACAGTGTTTAGGTTTGGGAGTTCATTGGGATTGGTTAAATTGTGTAATAAATTCAGAGTTACATTAATTGTAGGGGACGATTCCACAGATTCCAACAAAGTGGAAATACCTACCAGAAAACCTAGAAAATCCTAAGCTCCAGCAAATGAGAATTTGCCATTGATCACTGAGCCTTGCAACAACATAAGGAAGTCTCTTTCCCTTCTTTTTTTTTGTTGGTGATGTTTCTGGTACTAGCTCCCTGGCTGGGCCCCAGGAGTGCTGGCTGCTGACAGCCAGCCGTCTGCAGACAGTGACTGCCCAGGTGAAGATGTGTCTGAACCCCCATTGTCTGGCCCTGCACAGCTTCGTAGACATCTACACAGGTGGGTGCCAACCTTCTCTTCCCTCAGAGAATCCAAAAGCAGGCTTGGGAACTGCCTTTTTGGATGAGACCTTGGGCTCTTTGAGGACTGGACCTTCTCAGATAGGGTTTCTGAGGAAGGGGGAATCTTCTTCCTAAATGTCTTAGTCCCAGAAGATGACTTTTACCTCTCAAGTGTTGAAGCTCTTAACTGGGATCTTTAAAATAACATCTTCATTGTGGACGGGCTGGAAAATGCAGACAGACAAAAAGAGGAAACAAAAAATCAAGAGCATTCCTACTGCCATGAGATAAACACTTAACAATGTTCTCAATCTTCCAGAAATGTTTATTCATCTGTGCAGAATATAAGAAATTATAGGATTTATAGGTTTATAGTCTTTCTTTGAACAAAAGTGCGGTTGTGCTAGGTGTTGTTTTGGAATGTGCTTTTTAAATTTTGGGGTACATCATGGGCATCTTCCTGTGCCAGCAAGTAGAGAAGTACATGACCATTTTTAAAGGGATGTATGGTGCTCCATTTTACACTTTTGTGATTCAGTCTTTGTGTACAGCCCTAATTTGTCTTTTGGACAAATACTCAGAAGTGGAATTGCCCCACATTTACCCTTTCCTACCCTATTATTCATCAACATCAGGCATTTATGGAACACTCACCATTTTTGGTTGAATCCTAAATTTTGTTTGTAGAATTGAGTGCTAAAGATGAAAGCATATTTGTGATGTATTCTCTTTGTCTTAGAACTTAATGGTGCTTTATTTTGAATTCGTGTTTTTAATGTCTTATATTATTAGATTGAATTTGTACTATTTTATGCTCTTGCCAACAGTTAACAAGAGTGCCTATTACCCTATAGTGTATCTAGGCCAGTACTCAGGATTATATATTTGTTTAATCAACATGTATTTTAAAATGTACATGTAGTTAAGTGTGTTGCTCCCAGTTCCATCATTTCTGACAGATATACTAAGTGGTGTAACTGCCTTCACAATCAATATATAGAACAGGTCTATCACCCAAAACATTCTCTTCTACTGTTCCTTTGTATTTAAAACCACCCCCTCCCCCAACCTCTGGTAACTGTTTGATCTCATCTTTATCCATATAGTATTCTCTTTCCCAGAATGTCATGTAAAAGCAATTATAGCACGTAGCCTTTTAAGTCTGGCTTCTTTCAGTAAGCTAATCCTTTGAGAGTCATCCATGTTGTCTTTATCAGTGGTTTGTTCCTTTTTATTGTGGAGTAGTTTTCTGTTGTGTCGATGTACAGCAGGTTGTTTATCTGTTCCCCGTGGGAGGATATTTGGTTTGCTACCAGTGTTTGGCAGTTACAAGTAGAGCTGCTGTAAATATTTGTGTACCAATATGAAATGAAACCTAAGTCTTCAATTCTCTTGGGTAAATACCTAAGAATCAGATTGCTGGGTCATATGGTAAGTGTGTGTTTAATTTTATAAGAAAACAGCATTACCAAAGTGGCTGTACCATTTTGCATTCCTTCCCACAGTAGGTAAAAGTTACAGTTTGCTCTGCATGCCAACACTCAGCATTATCTGTTTTTGTTTTTCAGCCATTCTAATACGTATGTCTCCATATAAATTGTAGAGTCAGCTTGTCAGTATCTGCAAAGTCCTGCTTGAATTTTAATTAGATTGTGTTCAATCTGTACATATCGATTTGGGAAATTTTGACATGCCTAAAAATGTTGAATCTTCCAGTCCGTAGTCTTTCTCTCCATTTTAATAGGTTATCAGTTTTTCTAGTTTCAGCATATAGGTCCTGCACGTATTTTGTTAGACTTACATGTAAGTATTTTACTTTTTTTTTCAGTCCTAAATGACATGGTTCAGTTTCCAGCTATTCATTGCTAGTATAGAAATACAATTAAGTTTGTCTGTTGACTTTGTTTTTGTAGATGAGTATTATAATTTTTTAAAGTTTATCAATTTTATAGGTAAAAATTTGTATATAACCTGTTAATTTGTTGTATTTCTTTGTGCTAGGTAGACTATATGTCCTTTTTATGATCCTTTATGAGTTTTTTTCTATAGTAAATTTCTTTTGTGAGTGTTTTCATTCTTCTTTTGGGCTTTTCTTGACAGTTTTCTCTGAGTTTATCACTCTGTTTATTCAGTTTTACCTCTAGCCTGTCAGAATGTGGTATCAGTTGTCTTTTACATTTGTACTTGGTGATTTCTAGGGGCATCATGACTCTTTTGCTTTTTTATTTTGTTTTTTTTTTTGTTTTTTTTTTTTGAGACAGAGTCTCGCTCTGTCGCCCAGGCTGGAGTGCAGTGGCCGGATCTCAGCTCACTGCAAGCTCCGCCTCCCGGGTTTACGCCATTCTCCTGCCTCAGCCTCCCGAGTAGCTGGGACTACAGGCGCCCGCCACCTCGCCCGGCTAGCTTTTTGTATTTTTTTAGTAGAGACGGGGTTTCACCGTGTTAGCCAGGATGGTCTTGATCTCCTGACCTCGTGATCCACCCGTCTCGGCCTCCCAAAGTGCTGGGATTACAGGCTTGAGCCACCGCGCCCGGCCTCTTTTGCTTTTTTAAAAAAAAATTTATGGGACCAGAGCTTTGCTGTCTGTTATGGTTTCAGCCTTTGTACTTCTCCATACCCTTCTTCACTGGGAACACGTATTCCAAAATTTGCTTTTGTGCAAATTAGTGCATTATATTTTGTGCACATACAAAATCACCCACTTTTATTTGTCTTAAATTGACTGCACTTAAATTCCTCAGATTCATTCATTTCAGGATTTGGTGTTGGAGTGATTTCATAGCCTTTGTTACACCCCTTACACATTAATGATCTAAAGGATGCTCCTGGCCTTTCCGCAGGTGCAGTTGTGTGAGGGGTAAATGACCTTTGGTCCTAAGGACTGAGCTGGGTGGGAGGAAAGTGTTTCTTTTTTTTTACTGGGGGGAAAAAGGATCTACTATATGTACTATTTCATTCTGTTGTTGTTGTTTAATGATGTATTGTAGACAGCTTTGTGTCAGAACAGGTAGATCCATTTCTTTTTTAAAAAATGGATTCCATGTTGGAATACTTTATTCTTTTTAATGCTTTCAATCTTATGAATGCATCACAATTTAATTAACCTTTCTCTATTGATGGGCATTTAGTTGTGAGGTTTTTGTTTTCCCCTTTTAAAATATATAACTTGAATAAAATAGAGATGGGGCTTTTCTATGTTGCCCAGGCTGGTCTTGAACTCCTGGGCTCAAGCAGTCCTCCCACCTTGGCCTCCCAAAGTGCTGAGACTACAGGCATGAGATTACAGGCCATACCTGGCCTGTTTTGTTTTTTTGAGATGGAGTCTCTCACTGTGTTACCCAAGCTGGTCTACAACTCCTGGGCTCAAGCGATCCTCCCGCCTCATCCTCCCAAGTGCCTGCAACTACAGGCGCGTGCCACCGCATCCTGCTGGTGTGTATTCTATTTTTTGCCATTGTGTATGATACGTTAATTTCCTTGTTGCCTCTTCTTAACCTGCAGGTCTCTTTAATGTGGGGAACAAGCTGCTGGTAAGCCTGGACTTGCTTTTTGCAATCAGAAACCAGATCAAGCTCGGAGAGGACCCCAGAGTGTCTGTCAGTGTTGTTCTGAAGTCAGTGCAGGAGCAGACAGGTAAAAGTTGTTTCCTTCCCTTTCTCAAGGTTAATCCTAAGCTCCCTGGGAATTTTCAGTGATCGTCTTTGGTTAAAAGACTTGTTTTGAAGAAGAGTCTGATTATTTTGAAAAGGAGACATTCTTAACTTCTGAATACACTCTTCCTTTTGAATTTTACAAATGCCAAACTAATTTTGGAAAGCATGAGTCTTTCTGTGCATCCAGGGACCCTTAGCAAGAGTTTACCAGTGACTTCCACAAGTACCTCCTTTGGTCATAGGGCGACTTGGCCCCATTACATGTTAGACTCATTCTGACCACAGCTCCTGGATGTCTGCTTCCAGTCTCAAGGCTCATGCCAAGACCTGAGAGTGAGAACCGTCCTTTCTGTCTAGAATTTTTTTCCTCCATGCCCTCTTTACTCCTATTTGTGCTTTTCCCGTCCCTCTCCTATAGGCTCCAGTTCCCCTCTACCTTACCTGCTGTGAGAACAGATGGAGTAGAGCAAAGGTGCTGGAGTTACATGGGCCTGTGTTTCAGTCTTGGCTCTGCCGCTTAGTTGCAGTTTGATTTTGAGCAAGTTATTCTTGTGCCTCTGTTTCTCCAGCTATAAAATGAGGATAGTAGCTCCTGGTTCATAAATAATTAAATTCGTGTGAGATTTGATGAGATAACATATTCAAATCTTTCAGCACAGCATCTAGTACTTAGTACAAGGCAGCTATCACTCCAGTGGGAATTGCCCTTTGGGTTGCCACCTGAGCACTTGCAGGCCAGATCCCTGACCCTCAGGGTAGTTAGTACACTGAAGTGTTCTTTGAGGTGAATCAGTCTGGCAGAATTACTCTACTTGCTACCCACTGGCTCATCCCTAGTGGCTTCAGTGTCTTTTTTCTGTGCCCTTCTCAGTGTGCTTGCTCTTCTTCCAGAGAAGACTCTGACCTCGGAGGAGCTGAGCCAGCTGCAGGAGCTGCTGTGCAATGGCTATTGGGCCTTTGAGTGCCTCACTGTCCGAGACTACAATGACATGATCTGTGGCATCTGTGGTGTGGCCCCCAAAGTGGAACTGGCCCAGAGGAGTGAAGAGAATGTGCTAGCATTGAAGAGCGTGGAGGTAAGTGCCTCTTAGCCACCATGAGGGACCTGCGGAATTCTCTCATCTTGGCAGCTCCCTTCCTACATGATATCCTCAGCGGGTGGATAGCGCCAGTCCTGTCTAGGTGAGGCAAGTGACTTTCTCCTCCCACAGCCCAAGATTTCATTTAGGGAATGCCAGACGGAAATAGAGGCATTTATTTATTCAGTTACTCACTTGAAAAATGTATCCAGTGAGTAAGTATCAAAATATATATATATAATAATATTGAACATAAACTAAATAATAATAATAATAAAATAATATATTGAACATAAACTAAATGCATGTTTTAGACACCTGAGAGATAGTAGTTAAAAAAAAAAACACAAAACAAAGTTTCTGTCCTCATGGAGCTCACTTTCTGGTTTGGGGGACACAGGAAACAAATATCTGTCCAGGAGTAGTGAGTGCTATGAAGCACAGTAAAGCTGGGTAAGGGAGAGAGAGCAGTGTCATGGGAAAGGGCATTTGTATTTTATAGAGGGCAGTCAGTGGGGAGGGCCTATCTGATACAGTAGCATTTGAGTAGAGATCTGAAACCCATGTGGCTTTGTGGAGGAATATTCCAGGCAGAGGGAACAGAAAGAACAGGGTCTGAGGTGGGCTCGTTGGGCATGATTGAAGACCAGCAAGGAGACCGGTGGTGTAGCTCAGAGTGTGGGAGGGAGGGAGGGAGTGGTGGGGTATATGAGGTCCAGACGGTGCAAGAGGCCGATGCTATGTAGGGTAACGTGGGCTGTTTTAAGGACTTACACAGAGTGAAATGGGAGAGCCACTGAAGGGGTTGGAGGAAAAGAGTGACCTGAGCCGACTTAGGTTCTGAACTGAAAAATTTTCACACAATAATAACACCAAATTCAGATGGCTTCATAGATTAATTATAACAAATATCCAAGAAATGTTATTCCAAACATAGGCAAATAACAGAAGTGGATATATTTCCCCAACTCATATAAGGTTGTATAACTTTGGAAACAAAATCAGACATTTGATGTAAGAGAAGAAACTGGGGCTGAGTGTACTCATGAATATAAATGAAAGTCTGAATAAAATAATAGCAAATCAGATCTAATGAATAAAATAATGCATCATGACAAAGTTTATCACAGGAAAGCAAGGTTGTTTCAACAGTAGAAAATATGTTAATGTAATTCACTACTTAACTGATTAAAGGAGAAACCCTATATGATAATTTCATTAAATGTATGGGGGAAAAAAAAGGTTTTCTAGTGTGATTCTACACCCATATTTATGATAAAACTCGTAGCAAACAGAATAGTAGGAAATCTTCCTTAACCTTCTTTAGGGTTTAAAAAAAATCCCTTAGATTACTTTTCCCTGTGATCATGCCATGAGGTCTGGTCTACACTCACAGGCAGGGACTGCCCCTTGGGTATGCCAGTAGTTGCATTGGAGTGTAAGGTTTCCATCTCTGAACTCTACCGTAGTAAACAAGAGCCTGGGACATGAGCTGACCTTCAGGTGCTTACTGGACTTGCATCTCATGTGTTCACTGATCAGGCAGGTGCAGAACCTGTAGAGAACAGCTTTGGTGTATTTTGACTGGACCACTAGACATATTAAGGGTTGAATGCATAGTCCTGTCTTTTTCTTCCCAGTGAAAAAACCAGGCAGCTAAACCATTTTGTGTGTGTTGTCTCATCTAGAGGCTGTTTCCAGATTGACTCAAATGTGCTTGCCTAGTAGTAATAATAATAATGTAGCTAAGATTTATTGAGCATTTTATTACTATGCCAAGTTCTTAATCTGTGCTAAGTGCTTTACTATATGACTTAATTTTCCCTACAACCCCATGAGGTTTTCAGAGACATAGGCACTGAAGCTCAGGGGCCTTGCCCAAGCTCACCAAGCAGAGAGGGGTGGGGCTGAGATTGACCTTCTTCTTTCTCAGCCACTGACTGTGGAGTCTGCACCCTAAGCACTGCCATTCTCACCAGTACCTCCTAGGACTCCGAGTTCTAGTTTTCCTGATCATATCTGGCCACAGCAAGTTTACGGTTTCCAAGAATAGACAGAGGCCCACCTCCCTGCAAAGGTGCCATCTGCTAGTCCTGCCTGGCACCTGTCCTGTCCATATCAAGGCTCCTTTGTCCCAGAATGGAGTAGCATTCCCTTCACTCTCAGTTTGCTTGTCTCTTCCCTTCAATGGTACCAGGTTCTTCTTTCATAGAGGTACTTCTTTGTTCTGGAGAGTAGTGTGGTGTATGTGGGAAGAGGGTATCCTGAAGTCTATGAACTAAAACAGGAAGTTATGGAACAAAACTTAAATATGCTGTTATCCATGAAGAGACTTGTCAGCCCCTCTCTTGGGGTTATATAAAGGAGGACCCTGTGATTAGTTGGTGTACTGGGTTGGCATTTCCTGTTCCCTTGCACCTTGTGGAGAGGATAGACTCAGCTGGCCTCATTCCCCCAGGTGTGCCGTTTACACAGAGCATACACTAAGCACCCTGTGAGGTGGCGAACAAAGGAATAAGGTGAGGAGAGGAGCCTTTATGGGGAGCAGTGGTTCTTGGACTTTAGTGGGTATAAGAACTACACAGGGCAGTGGTTCTCACAACCTTTTAAAGTGGAGGGCTTGCTGGGTGCCACCCACAGGATTTCTTACTCAGGAGATCTGGAGTGGGGCCAAGAATTTGCATTTCTAGCAAGTTTTCAGGTGATACTCTTGCTGCTTGTCCAGGGACCACCCTTTGAGAACCATTCCTCTAAGGAAACTTTTTTAAATGCAAAATTAGGAGTTTAGTTCATACAGCTCAAGATGTGGCCAAGGTTTTTACATTTCTAATAAGTAACCTATACAACTCTGATTGAGATATTAGGATCTGGGTCACGTTTTGAGAACCATATAAGAGGGCATTGCAAGAAGAGAAATTGAGTAGCACAAGCGCTATTAATAGATGTCTATAAGAGATAAGTAAATGCTGCATTGGGTAGAAGAGATAGCTGTGTGCTGACAATGTGTGGGAGGAGGTCGGCGATCCACAGGGCCTTGGAAAATGGCTGGAATTTTACTCAATAGGATTCTGCTCGTTCTTGCCAGCCTGGTATCGGGAGTAAGGGTTTGGGCTTTGGAACTAGACCTGTGTTGACATGATTGTTCTGTCGCTTCGAGTGCTCGAATACTCACCTCAGCCATCCCCAGACTTGTTTTTTAGTAGTTCATTACAAAGTGTCTGACACATAACAGGTATTCAAATGGTAGCTCCCCTTTGTTTGTAAGACGGGGGAAATGACATGAACAAAGCTATAGAAACAGAAGAGACTTAGGGACTATTCATGCCTGGGAGAGTACTGTGGTGTAGGAGAAAGAAATGTGACCAAAAGTGGGTACAGAGCTTGAAATTCAAGGCTCCCTGGCAGGGCCTGGCTGTCTGACTTCTTCACCAAGCCTTAGTTTCCCTGTGTTTATAATGACAGGGTAGACTGTTGTGTTGTTGATGTTCTGTGACTCCCACAGTTTGACCTTCTTTATCCTGACCTTCTAGTTCACCTGGCCTGAATTCCTGGGCTCTAATGAGGTAAATGTGGAGGACTTTTGGGCCACGATGGAGACAGAGGTGATTGAGCAGGTGGCATTTCCTGCCAGCATCCCTATCACCAAATTTGATGCCTCCGTTATTGCCCCCTTCTTCCCACCACTCATGAGAGGAGCTGTGGTCGTCAACACTGAGAAAGACAAAAACCTGGATGTGCAGCCAGTACCTGGTAAGGCCACCTGGTGGCTGACTGGGGTCAAAAAAGGGCTCAATCAAGAGTCTGGGACGTTGTCCTTGGCGAGATAGCACAGTGGTTAGCGAGAGGGCCAGGCCCCACTGGAGGACTCCTTTCAGAAAGATAATAACAGCCCGTGTCAAAATCCCCTAGAGTTTAAAGTTCTGGTGCAGAGTCGAAGAGCGGTCCACCATATTAAATAGCAGGGGAGCACGGCTCATTGTCATTCTTCTGGGATACACACACTGAGTAGGGGAACTCCTGTAAAAAATGCTGATAAGGCTCCATCCCCAAAAATTTTCATTGAGAAAGTGTAGGGGCAGGCCAAGGAATCTGCCTTCAAAACAGGCCTCCCAGATGGTTTTGCAGCTAGTTTTGTGGATTATACATTGAGAAACCCTGGACTAGCGGATAAGAGGATAAGTTTCTAAGAGCTTGAGTTGGATTCCCAGCTATGCCACTTAGTAGCTGTGCGACCCTCTGTCAGGTCCCATCATTGCCCTAAGCCACTGTTGGTTCATTTACAAAGAGGGTGTGATAATAGCTGTCCACTTCCTAGATCACTGAAGATAAAGTGAGCTAATACAGTTAGAGCAATAGCCTTCCTCTTTAACTGTAACTCATAGTAAGAAATACATTTTGTATCATGACGCAGAATGATATTTGTACATATGCACGTGTGTATAATTGAAACAACATTCCCAAAACAGTATTTTTCCTTACCAAGTGCGATACACTTTATTTTCTGTCTTATTTCATTTTTGAATTTTTGGAAATGACCCACTGAATTGATACCATAAGTACTTAATATATTATGATGTGCAGGTTCTCAAACAGTGCCTCCTAATATTAGATACTGAGGTCCAACCTCATATTCCTATTAATACTTTAAGGGCCCAGGCATCTTTTTTTTTGTTTTGTTTTTTTGTTTTTTTTGAGACAGAGTCCTGCTTTGTCACCCAGGCTGGAGTGCAGTGGTGCGATCTGGGCTCACTGCAACTCCGCCTTCTGGGTTCAAGCAATTCTCCTGTCTCAGCCTCCCAAGTTCCTGAGACTATAGGCGCACGCCACCACACCTGGCTAATTTTTTGTATTTTTAGAAGAGACGAGGTTTCACCATATTGGTCAGTCTGGTTTCGAACTCCTGACCTCAGGTAATCCACCTGCCTTGGCCTCCCAAAGTGCTAGGATTACAGGTGAGAGCCACTGCACCCGGCCCCCAGGGATTATTTTTTTAAGGCCCCCACGTAGTTCTCTTGTGCTAGCCAGGTTCAGGAACGTTGTGTAGAGAACACTTTTAAAACGAGAGCTACTGCTCTCTTATTGCTGCAGTCATGGTAAGCATCTGAGGTCTTGGTTCTGAAAAACCTTAGAAGACTGGATTAAAAGCCGACTTATTTTAGGGTTTTTTTCAGTAGCTGTCTGCAGGGTATCTCACTCAGATGTTCCAGGGCAGAAAGCCAGTTCTGAGAGATTTCAGGTATCTGCAGAAAGCATGGACCTGACTTGAGTCCCACCTCTGCCAGCACCAGGGGAGAGCTTGGTGCAGAGCTGGCTTCCACTGTTTGCTGTTTTGTGGGCCTAGCCATGGCCTCTGGTGGCTGGCAGCAGCACCCTCCCACCAGCACTGTTGTGTCTTGCAGGTAGCGGCAGTGCCTTGGTGAGGCTGCTCCAGGAGGGCACCTGCAAGCTTGATGAGATTGGCTCCTACAGTGAAGAGAAGCTGCAACATCTGCTAAGGCAGTGTGGAATCTCCTTTGGAGCAGAAGACTCCAAGGTGAGTGTCAAGGGCAGTGGTGGATATCGGGGCTTCTAGGATAGGCTGATTGGTCCACCTTTCAGGGCAGGGATATGAATACCTGTGATGGCATCCGCCTTGGACCCAAGCTGCTGGCAGTCAGGGATGCCTAGGAGGTGGTCAACAGCTAGATGGTGACATGTATGTGGGGGGCCTGGCCTCTAGCAGTTCCTCCTGTTGAAGGTTGTGAGCCTAGGTTCTGGGGTCAGGAATCCTGGCTCTCCTCCTTACTGCGTGTGACCTTGGATAAGCTGCTTTATATTTTGAGCTTCATTTTCCTTGTTTGTAAAATGGAAATAACCAAAATACTAACCTCGTGAGACTGTTGTAAGGAATGCACTTTACAGTGTCTGGTTATTACCTATGCAAGCTCTTAGAAAATGCCTATTATTACAAAGAGTGTGTGTGTGTCTATGTGTTTGATTCATACGTTACTTACTTTCCCTTTCATATTTCTGTGCTGTTGAAAATGTTCTGCTTCCTTCAAGATCAGATTCAAATGTTAACTCCCCTTTGATGGTTTCTTTGCCCTGTAAAAAGTGAAAGAACTCAGGCCTCAGAATCCGACTGGCTTTGTCTGTGACCTAATCCTTTCAGGGCCTCAGATTGCTTACCTGTACCTAGAGGAGGTTGGGCTGATGAGGCTCCAAGGCCCACTTTATTCTTTTGCTTTGGGTGTTGGGTGAGTATGTGATGCTGAGCACCAGGTGTGGTCCCTTAGCATTCACCCTTATGTTTTTAATCTTGTCCTTCTACTCCAGGACCAGCTCTGCTTCTCCTTGTTGGCCCTCTACGAATCTGTACAGAATGGAGCTAGAGCTATGCAGCCCCCACCTCACTTCACAGGTGGTAAAATCTACAAGGTGTGCCCCCATCAGGTAAGAAAATAACTAGAGGGAGCTTGGAGTGAATTTGCTAATGTTGAACTTCCCACAGAGACTGATCCAGCTCAGTTTTGGGGGGCAAGACTTAAGTCACTGGGCAACCTCTGGCATAGCTGCCCACGGGTCAGGTACTACCCCGTGGGCTACGGAGGGAGGCTGGGTCTTTTGTCAGTATTTTTTAAGCACTCTACCACATCCTGGGCATCAGCTGTTGAGGGTATAAGTCGAACTTGTATAAAGAATGACAAAGATGTCATTCCTCCCTAGCTGACCATATATTTTAGTGGGGAAATACAGTCACCACAGCTTGTGGCACTGGCTCCGAAGAAATTAGTTAAGGGCCTAAGATAGAAAGTAACGGAGGAGGCCGGGCGCGGTGGCTCAAGCCTGTAATCCCTCCCACTTTGGGAGGCCAAGACGGGCGGATCACAAGGTCAGGAGATCAAGACCATCCTGGCTAATCCGGTGAAACCCCGTCTCTACTAAAAAATACAAAAAACTAGCCGGGCGAGGTGGCGGGCGCCTGTAGTCCTAGCTACTCGGGAGGCTGAGGCGGAGCTTGCAGTGAGCTGAGATCCGGCCACTGCACTCCAGCCTGGGCAACAGAGCGAGACTCCGTCTCAACAAGAAAAAAAAAAAAAATAGTACAGGGAGGAACCTGCTGTCTGAGGTGGCAGAGAAGACCGAGACCTGCAGGATAGGGAGGAGCCCAGTGATAAGCCAGGGAAGGAGTGTTGCAGCCAAGGGACCACCAAAGCCGTGAGTAGGGAGACAGAGTGAGCTGAGAGGAGGGGATGTTGGAGGGCTCCCCAGGGGCCAGATCACATAGAGCTCTCTAGGCCAGAGTAACAGTGGGTATTTTATTCTGAGTGATGAGGGACCTTTTGGATGGTTTTGAATGGGAAACCTGTGGAAGGGTGTGGAGAAGGTCACTGGGTTAATTAGCTCCAGGACAGGTTATATACTGGATGACAGACAGAGTGGGCCCAGGTAGATACTGGGATGGAAACCCCACTTAACAGGTACTGAACGGGAGAGAGGTGGCTTAGCAGAGCCTTCAGTTCACTGAAGCACGTGAGTCAACAGGGGGACCTAGCTATAAAAAGAGAATCCAGTTCCCAACTACTTTAACAGAAGCTGTGTCTGAAGGAGATGCTTAATGCTTCTACCCTGGGCAGATCAGAGCCTGCTCAGGGGATTGTGTTCATGCGACGGGGGTTCATCTCGTGAGAAGCAGCTGACAGCACAGGGAGAGCTGTAGATCTTGGGGACTGTGATGGGAGTGGCATCACCTGAAGGTGACAGCCAAGTGGGTTTTCCCAGAGCTGTGGAATGGTGCTTGGGGAGCCCTGTCAGTGGAGGTGTTTACTAGACTACATTGTGAGTTCCCATCTGGGCAACAAGCCCACTGGGGTCTGGTGGGGAGCTTGCTCAAAGTACAGATGCTTAGACCCTACTCCAGAGACCTTAGTTTCTTAGGCTTGACCTGGGGCCCAGGCATCTCCATTCTTAACCAGCTCCTAGCTGCTGCTGCTGCTGCTGCTGTTGCTGTGTAGCTAGCATGGTGAACTGGTAGATGGTGTGTAGAGAGTGGGGTTTTGAAAGATGTTCTGAGGTGCCTTTCAGCCTAAGTTGAGGACAGGATGCTCCCAGCTGTCTCTCTGAAGGGCAAAGATGAGCTGGTGCCTTCATTTAAGGACAGAAGTAGGAAGGGAGCAGAATGCCATGGGCTCTGGCAGGATGGCCATGGCTTCAGCCATGAAGCTGATTGCTCATCTTCCTGGGAAGCGAGTGAGAACTGTACAGTGTCTGCAGACTGGCTTCCTAATTAACCCTGCGCCCTTGCCCTTCGTCTCTCAGGTGGTCTGCGGCTCCAAGTATCTTGTGCGGGGTGAGAGTGCCCGTGACCATGTGGACCTGCTTGCCTCTTCCCGCCACTGGCCGCCTGTCTATGTGGTAGATATGGCCACGTCAGTGGCCCTGTGTGCTGACCTCTGCTACCCAGAGCTGACCAACCAGATGTGGGGGAGGAACCAGGGCTGTTTCTCTAGTCCCACGGAGCCACCTGTGGTGAGTCACCTCCTGAGGAACTGACATGTCTCCTCAGGCCTACCATGTCTTGCTCTGTCGCTCAGGCTGGAGTGCAGTGGCATGATCTTGGCTCAGTGCAACCTCTGCCTCCCAGGTTCAAGCAGTTCTCCTGCCTCAGCCTCCCGAGTAACTGGGATTACAGGCACGCGCTACCACACCCGGCTAATTTTTGTGTTTTGGTAGAGACGGGGTTTTGCCATTTTGCCCAGGTTGTTCTCAAACTCCTAGGCTCAAGCAGTCCACCTGCCTCAGGCTCCCAAAGTGCTGGGATTACAGGCATGAGCCACCACGCCCAGCCTACTCTGTAAGTTTTTACTGACCAAGCCCTCTGTTTGAGGCCACAGTATGTCACTTAGGTGTGCCCAGGGTATCCCAAACATAGGTACCTTGTGTTAAAAGAGGTTACCTTCCAGAGAAGCCTAGGAAGTTGCCACCTTTGACAGTCATTGTGCACACTGACATATTAAAGGCCCCAGCCAGCCCTGGATTACGTTTAATTCACCATGTCTACATTTAGTTGACCATGGATATACTGCATGGCATGCAGTATATCTGTTGTGATCTGAAGATACTCTGGTTAGAAAACACTCATTTTACCAACCCTTTCCTTTTATTAAAAGGGGAAACTAAGACCCAGAGGGGGAAATGGACTTTTCCAGCTCACACAGCAGATTAGTGGCAGAGCTCTTGTTTCTGTGTCTTGGTATATTGTACCAGACAGTATTTTTCACCAGTCATGTACCCTCCAAAGCCAACCTTTGTCCTTTGCTGAAATAGATGTCAGAACTGATAATTAGGAAGAAGTTCCGGAAGAATAACAAGGGTTGAGTGCCCCAGCCAGGATGCATTATGGGAAGTGAAGGCCTCTGGCTTTGCCTTGGAGGAGTCATTGTTGTCATTACTCCCTGGGGCTCACTGGCTCCATGAGCATGCCGGGGACCCCAGCAAAGTGTCTTAACCTTAGTCAGAGCCTTATCTTTCTGCTCCCCTGCAGCCCCTGGCCTGAATGGACCGGGGGCAATAACAGCCCAAGTAATCCAACATCTGCTCTGGAAGGTGGCCACTGTTACTGTCCCTGTTCTCACGTGAGGAAATGGAGGCACTGGGGGGCGGGGGTTGGCCTAGGAGGCACAGTACATGGTGATGTTAGGATTCAGACAGGGCTGGCTGAGCCTACAGTGCTTATTCTCACCAGATGGGTTCCCCCTTAGTCATTCCTTCTTGTCAAAAGGCATTCTCATTTCTAGAGTGTGTCCTGCCCAGAGCTCTTGGACCAGCATTATACTGTGGACATGACAGAAACTGAGCACTCTATCCAGCACCCAGTCACCAAGACTGCCACACGGCGCATCGTCCATGCAGGCACACAGCCCAATCCTGGTGACCCCAGTACTGGGCACCACTCCTTGGCACTGTGCCCTGAATTGGCACCCTACGCAACCATCCTGGCCTCCATCGTGGACAGCAAACCAAACAGTGTCCTCCAGCGGCCCATTGCCTTCGACAATGCCACTCACTATTACCTCTACAACCGCCTCATGGACTTCCTCACCAGCCGCGAGATTGTCAATCGTCAGATCCATGACATTGTACAGAGCTGCCAGCCTGGTGAGGTGGTCATTCGTGACACCCTCTACCGCCTTGGGGTTGCTCAGATCAAGACAGAGACAGAGGAGGAGGGTGAGGAAGAGGAGGTGGCCACAGTGGCAGAATAAGCCAGGCTGTTGTACAGGGACTATACCATCTCTCAAGCCATAGTAAGGCCCTTGCCTGAGGCAGAGCTATCCAGGGGACCTGCAGAAGTGGTCTCCTGTGGGGAGGGCCTCTGACTGCTGGGACTGACCAAAGAGCTTCCATTCCCTGAGCATGGTGGGACCCAGGGTCCTCGGTTCTCAACCCTCCACAGGTCAGGAGTGGTGCCGGGAAATCTCTTCTGGCCCCGAGAGAACACTTGGGGGACGTGGTATGTTTAATGGAGGGAGGGGAGGCTGAGGGAAAGGCTGGTAGCTGGTGGCTTCCGTGGGACCTGCTGTGGGTCAGGGTAGAGATCCTGGGTGGGCTAAGGCGTGAGTCCCAGCACTAGGTGGGAAGGCTGCTCAGGTCTCTCCCACTCCTGAGGAGCCCTGGTTTCAGCGCCCCCAGTCTCATGAATTGCTTAGCCTGTTGCCTTTGACTAGGGGCCTGGGGTGGCCTGCCTTTGACTAGGGGTCCCTTTGGGCTCTTGATTCTCCCTGAAGGAGGGATACATTTCTCTCTTGCTCTTCCTGTACCCACATTTGGGGGAAGCTGAGGAACAGTCAGCCACAGCTCTCTTCCAGGACTGTCCTCTCCGCCCCCAAGCTTTGAGGAAGAGCATCCCCTTCCTCCTTTCCCTGGCCACTGCTGCTGCAGCCAACATCCTCTCTGGGCCTGGGACCCTCTCCACAGACAGGATGTGATCCCTGGCCATGACATAACCTGGCAGCAGTAGGAAAAACTCCCTTCTGTGAAGGGGAAGCAGACTGGGCCATAAGGAAACAGCAGGACTGGCTCAAGTGCCCAAGGTTTGTTTAGGGCCTGGGAATTGGCCATGTGTTAATTTATTGAGAGGAGTGGAGTAGGTGGCTTTTTTTCCCCTCCTTCTCTCTTCCCCCAACAAAAATAAAGTTTATTAAATTATCTGGTTTTGGTGAAGCAGGAGTCAATTCCGTGCACATTGTGGTCAAGCGCCACAGACATGAGCTCGTCACTGCATGTGAAGGCGGGAGGGAAAGAAGTTCCAGGGAATTTGCAGGCGCTCATATGGCACAAAGAACCAGAGGCTGACTGCATTAATGCTGTTAGTTTAATGTGGACAGAGACATCCCGCGGCGTGACTGTTAGTTAGGATGAGTCAGCTTGGGGGAGTTTGTGCTTCCTGCTTGGTGTGGCCAGCCACATGCCAAGGTTCCCTGCCTTCTAGCCAGAATGATAGGGGACTGGGCAGAACACCCCCAACTTTTAGCTGCCACTTGGCTCATCACAGCAGTACCAGTGCGGGGGTAGGAGGGGTAGGGCTGTGGAGTGAAGAAGGCTTGTAGGGCAGAGACTAAGAGGTCCTGTGAGATTCTTAGAGGAGCCATCCTGCTCCAAGGGGCCTGAGCTGAGTGTAGTCTGTGAGCATCTCCTGCTCTTGCTGCGCCTCTCGGAGAGGAAGAGCTCAACTCTTTGCCAGTCTGTCTAGCCCCAAGGAGCCTGGTTTTCTCAGTAGCAGTGTAGCTCCTGGGGACTTCACAGGCATAAAGTCAGTCCACTTCCATTAAGAGAAGAATATTAGGAAAGGAGGTTCTACCAGTTGGCATAGCAAACATGAGGCCAACACCATGAGAACGGTAGGGGAGAGGGGGTGAGGGCTCAGCCCCCAGCCCCTGACTGGCAGTGATGGCCCACGCTCAGGGAGTGGGATCCTCAGACCTCCCCTGGATCCCTCACCTTCCCAAGTTTCAGCACTGGGCCAAGCTGTTGAGTGAAATGACCGAAGGCAGAGTTTGTGTGTTCTCCCCACGTCACCCCGTCCGTGGAGAAGTTGAAGCTTGCAGGAGGGGAGAGTGGTGCTCCCTGTCGTCGGCTCCTCAGCAGAACTGATAGTTGTTGGGCTGCAGCAAGGGCTGGGCGATATCCCCTTGCTCGCAGCAGGCCAGGTGCTCACTAGAGCTCTCCTCTTCCGGCTCACTGCTGCTGCTGCCGCTACCGCTACCACCGCTTCTGTTGCTGCTGCTTGGCAGATTGGTATAGTCCTGAGGGTGGGACAGACCACAGACTGTCAGTCCAGATCCATCAGGCCCAGCCCAACCTGCTTTACCGGCCACCCACCCCAAGCCTCATCCCACTCACCCGCTCTCTCCTGTCCTCTTGGGCTTGCTCCTGAAGGAGGGAGCAGATCTGCTGGAAAGTGGGTCTGTGGGTGGGCTCCAAGGCCCAGCAGGCCTGCATGATGCTGTATCTGGAGATAGGACAGAGGATGCCCATGTGCAGCTCTCTAGGGTCCAGGGGTCATTGACACACACCCCTAGGGAGACCTACCCAGCAGAGGTCCGCAAACCCAGTCAAAAATAAGTTTAGTATAAAACCTGTGCCACGTCCTTGGCATGCTTTACCATTTAGTCCTCACAGTAACCCTTGCAGAAGGGTACTCTTATCACCCTTATTTTGACAGATGAGGCCCTTTTGGTATCCTCAGGGTCACTGTAATAACAGTCTCTTAAAAGACTGAGTTTAGGGACAGGTACAGTGGCTCATGCCTATAATCCCAACACTTTGGGAGGTTGATGCAGGAGGATTACGTGAGGCTAGGAGTTTAAGACCAGCCTGGACAACATAGTGAGATCCCATCTCTACTAAAAATTTTTTTTAAATAGCTGGGCTTAGTGGCGCACACCTGTAGTCCCAGCTGCTTGGGAGGCTGAGGCCAAAGGATTGCTTGAGCCCTGAAGATCGAGGCTGCAGTGAGCTGTGATCGTACACACCACTGCACTCCAGCCTGGGCTACGAGCAATATGTCTCAAAAAAAAAAAAAGAAAAAGAAAAGTGGTCATTTCGGACCAGCCCTAGCAGACAGCTACTTCTCTGAGAACATCGCTCATACCTTGAACTCAGAAGGGGCTTGTGCCCACTGTGGGAGAGAGAAAGCCTGACCCTGGAACATTTTAGACAGGGGAAGATCAGGGCCACACGGCCTTCCATCCCTTTCTGGCGAAAGCCTGGGGTGTCCTTTTCCCTCCCTGGGATCCCTTCGCTTACATATTCTTTGGGGCAAATGCAGGCTGGGCCATTTGGTATCCATCCTTCACCAGTTTATAGAACTTGCTGTTCACCAGGATGCCAGGGTAGGGATTCAGCCCTGCAAAGGCCGAGATCAGGTAAGAGGCCATGCCCGTTGTCCTCTCCCCGTTTCCGCACACCCACACACATCTTAGACTGGGTTTGAGGGGTCCTACTTGACAACACTGCAACAGCAGCTGCTCTTATCCACTGTGTGGCAGGCTTAGGCTTTAGGAACGTGTGAGCCTCCATCCAGGCCTTATCACACCAAACAAGAATTCTTGCACAGGCTTTGGGATCAGTAAAACCAAAGCTTCAGTTGTGTACTGTTAAAGTGGGGACAGTCGGGTGGTTATGAGGGTGCTGGAGCAGGGTATATAAGAACTGAGGACAAGTCCTTGTGCCTAGTCCTCAGGAAATGGGAGCTCTTTCTACTAGAGCCTAGTAGTAGAGAGCTGCATCTTCAAGGGTCTGTAGATTTCAGGCAAAGGAGGGAAACAGTGACAAAGGAGGGTAACAGGTAGCAGCAACTGAGCAGAGAGAAATGAGGGAAGAGCCAGAAAGGAGCGCCTGTCAAGGGCAGGGGGTCTGCCCCGCCCTGCAGAAACCGCAATGCTGGGTTTGGAGACCCTTGCCCATTCCTGCACTCTCACAATCCTTGTTGTGTCCTGGGCACCAAACATCTTTGTCCACCAGTGGGGCAACCAGAGGAGCCAGCCCCAGGCTCTGCCTGGAGTGGGCCCAGTGGCTCACCAAGTGAGAAGATCTCCCAGAGGAGGATGCCATAGGACCAGACGTCGCTCTGAACCGTGTAGACACAGTCAAAGATGCTCTCTGGGGCCATCCACTTCACAGGCAGGCGGGCCTGGGATAACAGTCCCCAGTTATTTTGGGCCCTGACTCTTCACCCCCTCCTCAGCCTGGCCCAAGCCCTCCCAGCACTTACATTGCCCTTGACGATGTAGTTGGAGTCATTCATGATGTCCCTAGCCAGCCCGAAGTCCCCAATCTTGGCCACATGCCCATTGGTCAACAGCACATTTCGTGCTGCCACATCCCGGTGGATGCACTGAGGGAAAGCACTGCAGGGTTAGTCTTGGGCCATCTCCTACCTTAACCTGAGGTGAGGAGGATGGCAGGGAGGGCCCCAGATGGCTTTGGGGTCCCTGTTGGAGTAGACATCAGTTTTGGTCCTTTACCATAAACCCTTGTCTATACCTTCTACCAGGGCCCAGGATCTAAGAACGTGTAGCATGGTCTGATCATTTAATGCTTAGAAACCACCATTACCCTGAGCAGCCATGGCCCTTCTCGCGCTTTGTCCTCTGAGTGGTCCGCTCAGGCCCCAGAAGCAGAGGGCTTCTGTGCAGAGCAGTAGTCTCCAAACCCTACCATTATTTCTGATCATAGCAGCTGCTGTCTGTCAGGCCCTTCCCTAAACTCTGCACACACTGAACCCTTTTTTTTTTCAAACATTGTTACACCCATTTTTATAGGTGTAGAAACAGGCACAGAATTTAAATAGTTGCTTAAAGTCACAGAGCAGGTGGCAGAGCCAGCAATCAAACCACTGACTCCCAAATCTGTTCTAAGGAAGATGGCAAGAGCTCCCATTCCCTGGCACTTCTTCCTAGGCTGAGTGCACTTTATACATTATCTAATATCCTCAAAATTCTATGAGGAAGCTTCCATTATCCCCACCAGACCATGTGCTTCATGAGCAGGGACAACTGTTGTCTTTTATACACTATTTAGCAAAAACAAATGAAAAAAGCCTGGTACCGGGCCAGGCGCGGTGGCTCATGCCTGTAATCCCAGCACTTTGGGAGGATGAGCCGGGCGGATCATGAGGTCAGGAGATCAAGGCCATCCTGGCTAACACGGTGAAACCCCATCTGTACTAAAAATACAAAAAAGTAGCCGGGCGTGGTAGCGGGCACCTGTAGTCCCGGCTACTCGGGAGGCTGAGGCAGGAGAATGGCGTGAACCTGGGAGGTGGAGGTTGCAGTGAGCCGAGATTGCGCCACTGCACTCCAGCCTGGGCAACAGAGCGAGACTCAGTCTCAAAAAAAAAAAAAAAAAAAAAAGCCTGGTACCCTTTTTCATCTTCACACTGGGGACACAGGTGCCCAGCCCCGGAGCTCCAGCCCTGGACACAGCTTTCTCCCACTCACCCTTGCAGCTGCTGCCCAAATGACTCTCGCACTCTGTCTCCTCCCCTACCCCGCGCCCCCAAGTTCCCCTTTCCCCTTTCCTCCTCCCCATCGTCACTCATTCAGCCTCCCCAGAACACAGACCTGGGTGGCTACGAGCCAGGGCCAGGTTCCTACTCACATTCTTGGAAGCGAGGAAGGCCATGCCCTGGGCTACTTGGCTGGAGAAGTGAAGCAGGTCCCGGAGCTCCAGGGGCCGTCCATCCTCCTTGTCCAGGTCTAGGGTGGGAAGAGGCATCAGGGCAGCCCTGCCACACTCCCCACCCCTCACCCCAGCAGCCCCTTCTCCTTTTCCCTTATCAAGCAAATGGGGCCTGGCCCTGAGGCTTCCTCACCTTGCTCAGAGAAGGAGTCATTTGAAGAAGTAGAGACAGGTCTCATCTCCACATAGGTGTCCACACCCTGGCTGGAGAAGCCACTGTCCCTACGTAGGAGAGAGGGTTGGAGGGCAGGGGTCAGTCCCCATCACTGCACTGCTCAGCTCAGGCCTTGACCACCTGCCACCCCATGGTCAACTGGAACCTCCCTTTGTGTACACTCCATCTGAGTGAGCATTGGTCTCTGCTTGGCTGGCCCGGGTGAGGGAGCTTACAACCCATTCTGGTTTGGGGCAGCTCTGCCTGTGAGAAAGTTCTTCACTGTTCCTAATGCCAATCTGCCCCTGAG